GGTGCTCGTGACGACGATGAAAATGACGACAGCAAGGCGAATCATGGAGCCAATGATGACAACGCCGATAAGAAGATGGTGTCCTCGCGTCGGTGATGGAGGTTGTGGGCACATTTCGAACGCGCGCGCGGCGCGGCCGACGGGCGCGAGTACCCCGCATGGTATTATTTGTCATGAGTCGTGCCGCCCCCAGCACGCGCGCGCGAAGAGGCCTCTTTGATCGAATGTGATAAGAATGTTGAGAACAAATGATAGTCATACAAATTCGAAAGGGCGCGCGCAAGCTTGTTTGAACATCGTGCTGTAAAACCACTGGCAATTGTTTCGTTTTCAAAACACTTGATTTTGAAATCCGTGCAGAAACATATAGGTGTTGACTGATTCCGGCATGCGCGCGACAACACACTCGTGCAGTTCGCCCCGCGTGTTGCAACTGGTTTTTGAAACATAGAGAACTTTGATAAACGAGTGCGCGCACATACGATTATTTCTTCTAGTGGTGAGGGGGGTGGTCGAGCCTGGTCTGGCTAGGATCATATGAATTCATTTCGAATGAACAGTGGGGCAGAATCCCATGTAAAGTGATCGAGCCTGGTCTGCCTAGGATCATATGAATTCCTTTCGAACGAACAGTGGGGCAGAATCCAATGTAAATTGAGTATCCCTAGGGGGGCATGCAATCCCAGGGACGCGGGGGTGGCAAATCCGACCTCCTCTTTAGAAATGCGAGCCGATGTGGTGCAAATCCCCGGCCCAACGGGCTAAAAGCGTGCTGAGATCTCCGGCAACTGGTTAACATCGGGGAGACGTAAGACTCGGGTACGGGGGACTCGGTTTGTGCTGACGGGGGCCATCATCAAAAATAACGAGACCCAATCTGAACTTTGACGCGGGCTCCCGCTGCAGACATCCCACGAAGTTCGGACCGTCAAAATCAAGGACACCGCTCGTGGAACAACTTCGGCTCACCCGAGTTCTGGCTCACTCGAGTCTTACGCTTCCCCTATGACTGGCCACCCCTCGGACGCCCATTCCCTGTGCTTTGTTGGGTCTCGTGCGTGTGTTTTTTTTTTTTTCCGCAGGATGATCCAGGATGCTCCTTTAGGGGGCCACTTGCGAACCCTACCCCTACCTCCCACGATTTCTGAGGGGGGGGTGGGGTTCACTTCGTTCGGGAGCTCCCGAGCAGAGTGAACCCCACCCTCCCCCTCAGAAATCGTGGGGGGCAGGGGTAGGGTTCGCGTGTGGCCCCCTAATCCCCGCCGGGAAAACAGTGCCCACGTCCAAGCGACACCACGATGACATCACTTCCAGCTCGCGCGCGCGGGCCGGCCCCGCCCGTGGCCCCCCGCACCCCAGGGCACTCCCGGGGGGGGTGGGGGCAGCCCGGCCAGGCGCAGCCAGGCAGGCTCCCCCCCGAGAGCGCTCCGGGAGCGCTCCGAGGAGGGCCTCCCCAAAAGAGGCCCCCAAGATGGGTGCAACACAGGGCTCCGCGCCCCCGAACGACCGATACCAAGACGCCCAGGAGGGCCTCCAGTCGGCCCGAGAGGCCCCCACGACGCCCCCAGAGGCCTCCAGAAGACGCTCCAAGAGGGCTCCCAGAAGTAGTTAAAAGATAGTGACTTCCCTAAGGTGTTTGAGCCATTTTAGCGCCATCGTTTTGACTGCCCAAGCAGTCCCCAAGGTCGCGCCAGCACGGCCCAAGCAGCCTCGAAGAACATCCGAAAACGACCCCAAAGGGCCCCAGGACAGACCCAGAGGCCTCTAAGATGGCCCAAAAGACCCCCAAGAAAGCTCCAAGAGCGGGCCCAAGACGACGACGACGACAACGACTACGACCACGATTACGGAGGAGCAGGAGGAGGAGGAGAAAGAAACGGATAGGCGAAGGGAGTAGAGGAGGAGGAGGAGGAGGAGGCGGAGGAGGGGCGGAGTTGACTTCCCGCCGAGAGAAACAGCGGGCGTCCTTAAAACTCAAAACCGCATGGGGTCATACCAGCTACAGTGGACCTCCCAGGGGTTGCATCCCAAGGTGGGGGAGAGGCGAAGGCATGTTTGGCTCCAACGCCGCAGGGCCTGATTCGCAACGTTGAGGCACTTCCTGCGACTGGCTGTTTTTTCAGACGCACGCCTCCGCAACGGCGCACTGCCCCCGGCCCAGCCCCACGATCCACACGAGCGCGCGGCGCCCCGCAGGGACAGGCGGGGAGACAAGACGCAACATGCGCCATCCGGGAACGTAGCGCGAGCCCAAACTGCAGCACGCGAATTCGCCCAGCCAGTGTACCTGGTCTGATGAGGGGGGACGGCCAAGAAGGGGGTGTCCAAGAGGGGGGGTGCAAATCATGACCGGCGGCATGTGCGCGGCCCAGCGGGGGGGCCAGGGACGTAATGAAATAAGAAGAGGCGCCATGAAATCTGGGGAAATATCATGACCCCCGCCATGATATCCACCCCCCCCTAGTCATCACCCCCCTCTTTTCCGCTCCCGAGATGAGGGGGGACGTGGGGCCGGGACGGGCGCCAGGGGGGAGCAGTGGGCTGGAAACGGCGGCACATCGCCGTTAGATCGGCGCTGAGCCCCCGATGCCGAATTCGGCGGCGGACAAACCTCCCTTTAGTAGACCTCCCCTTAGTGAAAACGGCCTGGGCCCGAAACCGACGAGCCTGGACCCGCAAAATGGCGGCTGCGACGCCCTCTCGCGAGCCGAAAACGGCCAATTCCTGAATCGACGTGTCGGGGCAGGAGGTCTGTCCACCCCCGGCGAGTCCAAACGGCCCCGGGCGGCGTGGGCCATCGGGCGCCAGTCGGCGATGAGTGGGCGGTGGAGGCGCGATGCGTCCCTCCCGGAGCCCATCCCCCGCCCCTTACCGTTGCCCCCGGCTGGAGCTCGGAGGCCGCTGCCTCTCGGCGGCAGCGGCAGCGACGAGGCCCCCTCGGAGCAGCACCGCACGGGGCGCCGCGGCGGCCCGACGCGGGGATTCCACCGGCACGCGTGCCAGGAGGGAAGGAGGGATCCCAATCGGGGGTGGACAGACCCCCCTTTAGCAAAACGTGGTTTAGTGAAAACGACCTGAGGCCCAAACCTGGCGGGCGCAAGCCTGGAAAATAACGGCCACGGCGCACTCTCGAGAACCGAAAACGGACAATTCACTAATCGACGTGTCACTGTTGGGGGTTCTGTCCACCCCCGACCCAAGGGCAGCGGGTCGCTGGGGACGCACAAGTACGTGCACGAAGACTCTGCGACGCACACGTCGTGTTCGTGTGTTGGGTTGACGCCGATCGCTCCCCTGGGACCGCCTGGCCATCGAGGGTCGTGGCGGGTGGCCTCAAATCCCGGCAAGGGGGACGCCTGCCCCTCGTAGGGGCCTTCCGAAACGGGGTCGGAGCAGATGGAGTCGGAAGATCGCGCCGCATCGCCGATGCAGCACCAATGCCTCGGCGACGTCGGACCGGAGGACCTCGGGCTCAGCATCTCGAGCCTCATCGCCGGTGCACGGGCGCCGCGGCGCGCCCTCCGACCCCACCTGCTCCGACCCCACTGGGGAGGCCGAGGCCTCAGGACATCCTCTTCTCGTGGCAAGACGCGCCGGTGGCACCAGTCGGGGAGACGTAAGCCTCGGGTTCGGGGCACTCGGGGTGGCCCGGCGGGGCCGTCACAAAAAAATGGCGAGACCCAATGTGACATTTGACGAGAACTCCCGCAGCAGACAGCCCACGAACACTGGACCGTCAGTTTCCAGGACGGGCTCGTCGACAAAAAGTTGGCAACTCCGAGTCCCAGCAAACCCGAGCCTTATGTCTCCCCGAATGGTGCGACCAGCGTGTCTTGCCATGAAAAGAAAAATCCTGAGGTCTGAGTAGATGGGGACAGAGTAGATGGGGGCGAAGGATCGCGCCGCAGCGCCGACGCATATGCGATGAGGCTCGATGCTGAGCCCGAATTTCTCCACTCTTGGTTCCGGCACACCCGACAACGACGAAGTCGAGTCTTACGCTCGGGGATCAAACAATGACATGAACAGAATTAAGCGGAGGTCCGCGCGGATCTCTCGTGTCGGCGATGGCCCCCGCTGGCGGCGCCTCTGGCGCCGCCCCTGGCGCGCTCCCTTCCCCAGAGAGGGGTGTCCAGCGCCGATCCAAGAAATCCGCGCGAACCTACCGGTTTCTGAACATATGCGATTGTTTGTTCACTGATGCGTTTCCCCGATCCATGTCCATCCCTGGGCGAGAGGCAACGAGTGGGGGGGACTGGCGCAGGGAGGGAAACAACGATGTGGAATCGGCGACGCATCGGCGGTAGATCGGCGAGAGGCCCCCGATAGCAAATTCGCATGTTCCTGGACAGGGCGGGGTGATTGAACCCACGTTGACGATCAATGGGCGATTGGGGGCCGATGTGCACCCCCATGCGCCTCGGAGATAGGCCCCCGATAGCAAATCCGCATGGTCCGGGGCAGGGTGGGGCGGTTGAACCCTCGTCGACGGTCAAGGGGCGATTGGGGGCCGATGTGCACCCCCTTGTGAGAAGAAGAAACAAAGGCATAGACATAAACTTTTGGGCCTCCGCGTGGATTTCTGCGATCTGGGCTAGAACCCCCTCCCTGGTGCGAGGAGCGCGCCGGGGGCGGCGCCGGAAGCGCCGCCACGGGGCCCCCGCGCGGGTCCAAGAAACCCGAGCGGAGCGCTAAAAGTTTCTGTCCATAGCGTTTCCCCCTCCACGACAAAAATTGTGCCCATCCCCCCCCAATTGTGCCCATTCCCCCCTACGACAAACTGTGCCCATCCCCCCCCCCATTGTGCCCTTCCCCTCTACGACGAATTGTGCACAAATTGTGCCCCTTCCCCTCTACGACAAATTGTCCCCCTCTACGACAAATTGGTCCCCTCTGCGACAAATTAAATTGTTCCCCTCTACGACAAATTGTTCCCCTCTACGACAAATTGTGCCCCTCTACGACACATTCTCCCCAATCGTTCCCCTCGGACTGGGCGCCCGAGGGACGCCCGGACGCCCGCGCCCGGGCTCGCTGCCGGCGCGGGCGCGCTACACGAGCTGGCACTCGCGCACCGGCCCCGGCGGCCAGCCTCCGGGGGGCGGCTCCTGGGGGGGAGGCGCGAGAAAAAGGGGAGGAGGAGGGGGAGGAGGAGGAGGAGGAGGAGGAGGAGGAGGGGAAGGACGGGGGAGGGGGAGGAGGAGAGGGGGAGGAGAGGAGGAGGAGGCGGAGGAGGAGGGGGAGGAGGAGGAGAGGAGGAGGAGGAGGAGGAGGGGAGGAGGAGGAGGGAGGAGGAGGAGGGGGGAGGAGGGTGATTGATGATGATGATGATGATGATGATGATGATGATGATGATGATGATGATGATGATGATGATGATGATGATGACGAGGAGGAGGAGGAGGAGGAGGAGGAGGAGGAGGAGGAGAGAAGGAGTACGTAGGAGTAGGAGGCACCCCAGCGGGGGCCCACGCCAAGAGGGACCCTGCTTGCCTCCAGGGTGCCCTGGGTTTCTTGCGTCTCGACGGCGCTGCCATGGCAATGGACAGCGTGACGCTTCCATACCAAACATGGGCGGGCGTCCTGGGGTCTCAGGTTGGGTTTCTTGTGGAAGGTTTCTTGTGGTCGGGAGTCCTCAGTAGAAGTGGGAAAAAACGCCATAAACATAAACTTCTGGCGCTGCGCGCGGAATTCGTATTCTTGGATCCGCGCTGGGCCACCCTCCCTGGCGCGCGAAACGCGCCAGGGGCGGAGCCGGAGGCGGCGCCGGGCGGGCCCCAGCGCGGATCCAAGACATCCGCGCGGAGCGCCAGAAATTCATGATGTTAGCGTTTTTTGTTTTTCTCCGGTTATGCGCGCAGAATATCTGCATCTGCTTTGAGTACGTCCGTGGCATTCTTTGCGAGGGGCGCCGCAAAACCGAGGCGCACCGGATCTGAGCAGGGACCGACCGTCCCGGCATTCCTACAGTCCTACCACGAACTTGCCAAAAATGCTCCAATAACAAAACCAATGTTCTTAGAACAAAAGCCCGATGTTCTTAGAACATTGTTTGGTAGGGCTAATAGGCGAGCCAGGACGCCTCGCCACTGCTTGACCGATCCGGAGACCCGGCGGCGGCGGGCTGGCTTCGGGGGGGCCCTGGCCTGCGGCGGTCCGCAGCAGCTGCTGGGGTCGTCCAGCAGCACGGCGCGCGTGGCCAGCTTCTTGCCCTTCCGCAGCTCGCCGACCACGATGCCCTGCTGCTCCTGTGGGGTGCAGCAGGGGCTCGACCACAAGAGGCCTGCCACAGAAAACCCAACACCCTGAGACCCCAGGACGCCCATGGACTTGTTGTATGGGAACGTCACGCGTTCCATGGCAAAACCGTCGCAACCCAAGAAACCCAGGGCACCCTAGAGGCAAGCAGGGTGCTTCTTGGCATGGGTCTGCACTGTAGAGGACCAACATCCACGGACATGCTCGCGCCGTGACAGAAGCAATGGCGGGATGCTTTTGGCTGCCGTCGGCCTCCAGGGGCCCTCACAAAAACCAGACTTGGGGCGAAACGCTGGCCCATGCGGAAGGGGTCGGGACACCCGGAGACCCCGTCTCCCCTGCTGCTCCGGCGGGAAGAGGTATCTACCACCGCCACCAGCAGGGGAAGAACATAGTACATAACCACAGACTCTCGGAGATCCGCACGGACTCCTGGGATCTGCGCTGGGGTCCGCCTCTGGCGCCCGGAGCGCGCCAGGGGCGGCGCCCGAGGCGCCGCCTAGGGGTTCCAGCGCAGATCCAAGCCATCCGCGCGGAGCTCCGAACATGCATGGTTATGCAGGTTGCTCTTCGACGGTATCTACCATCTACCACCGCCACCAAGCCTCCACAAGCTTACTTGAGCATCGAAAGTAAGCAGGTCTTGCGCAAGATGGCATGGCACATCGACCTCGCGCCGCGGCTTATGCGGGCCGCCAGCGTGGCACACCGCGTGGATGAAAGGGCGCTTGCGCATGACCTCACGCGGTAAATTTACGCGCGAATGTCCGCGCAAATGTGCTCGTTTTCTTCCGCCGCTCATTTGAGCAAGTACATTGGTGTGGCCGCCGCCGTGCCGCGAGGCACTGAGTAGAGCGTCTCAGGTCCGGTCCACCATGACCTGATAATCCTCCACAGTGGGTTATGGAAATTATACTTCCAGGTCCCAGGACGTGGAACTTTCGATTTCTCGGGCCATGCTTGAAGCCCTCGGTCGTTCTTTAGGTTTCTCCCGTGACTTCCCCAAAGAGCTAGGGAGTGTTTGTGGAGGCCTCAACATCCAATATGCTCTAAGATGAGCTCAGGGACCCGTGGTGGAGCCCTCTTCGGGGCTTCTTGGGTTGCCTTAGATGCCCTGGCAGACTTGTCAAGAGGCCACAACCATTGAATCATGTTTCAGGCGTGGTATGTTTTCTCGCACGTCTTCGGTTTTTTGATCAAGAATGGCCAAAGAGGCACCCAAGATCCGCCCAAGAGGGCCATCAAGGTTCCCCAGAGGCATCCGAGAAGCTCCACGATGGGTGACTTCCAGAGATGGCACCGCGAGCCCAACGCCCGAGGACGACTCTCGATCCCGCCTGCGGGCCTCCGAGACGCGCCCGAGGGGCTCCCAGAAGCCCCCGAGCGGGCCTCCACAGAGAGCCGGAGATGCCTCTCGGAGGCCACGCGCCCACAACCCATGCACGGTGGCGGGAGAGGCCCAAGGCCACTAGGCATGCGCCGCTCACCGTTGGCTTGCCACAAGGGTGCACGGTGTGCCGTGCCAAACTTCAAGTTGGTTCGAAACCTTCTCTTCGTGAGGGTTCTCAAGGGCATTCGGCCCGACCCGCCAGCCACCCCAGAAGCTGCGCCAAACCTGGTCGGCAATGAGATTCCGCTCCAAATGGCTCCAAGATGGCGTCCGCGACGACCAAGATGACCACCAAGACGGCTAAGCTAGCCCAAAGAGAGCCCAAGATGGACCCATGTCGCCAAGACGGGCCGACATGCCCCCAAGATGGCCCAAGATAGATAGCATCAAGATCGCCCAAGACGGCTCAAGAGGCCTCTAAGACGGCCCACGAGGCCTCCAAGAGGACCTCCAGGAAGGCCCGAAGAAGCCAAACTCATACATTTGTCCTTCGGTTTTTGAAGGATTCCGGCGGTTGCTCACTTTCACCTTTCCGACGGCCCACGACGGCCCTGGAGGCCACCAAGATGGCCCCGAAAACCCCTGACGGCTCAGGAGACCTCCAAGAGAGAGGCCCCCTTATGACGGCTTCCAACAGCGCCAGACGGGCCAGGAACAGCCAAAGAACATCCCAAGGCGCCTCCAAAGGCCCCCAAGAGGCCCAAGGAGGTTTCCAAGATGCCTCCAGGCCCCAAAGAAGCGCCCAGAAGGCCCCGAGAGGGACCCAAGAGCTCCCAAGAGTCCTCATCCTCCTCCTGGTTCTCCTCCTGGTCCTCCTCCTCCTCCTCTTCCTCCTCTTTCCTCCCTCATCCTAACCCTCTCCTTCCCCCACGTGCCCACAGAAGGGTTCCCACAGCGGCTTGGGGGACAGGCAGTCCGATAGCGCGGCCGAGCTCTGGCCACGATGCTCGGCCGCACGGGCGCCTCCCAACGGCCGGGGGCGGCGGTGATTCGCCGTCAGCATCTTCGATCGGCGGCCGCCAGGCCGAGAGGCCACACACGCCAACATCAGTCCCAGTGGGCCTGTGGATGCCTGGTGGGCGGCGGGCGTTTTCCTCTCCCACTGTCCCCATCGCAGCCCCAGCCGCCGCCGCCTCCTGCGAGCAGCACCCTCCTCCTCCTCACTCTCTATTCCTCTCTCTCTCTCCCTCTTTCTCTCGCTCTCTCTCTATGTGTATGTCTGGATGTTCCCTTCTTTATTTCGCTCATATGATGTTAGTCGTGGTGTTGATTTCTTATTGTTCTTATGATGTTGGTTCGTATTACTATTATTAGTATTATTATTAGTATTAATATTAATATTATTAGAATTATTATAAATGTTATTATTAATATTAGTATTATTAGTATTACTGTTATTACTATTATTACTAATTTTATTGTTACTATTGTTATTACTCCATTTATTATTATTATTATAAGTAGTAGTATTGTTATTAGCACTATTATTCCAATTAGTATATTATTATTGTTTGTATTATGTGTTTCTCTATATATCTCTCTCTCTCTCTCTCTCTCTCCCCCTCTCTCCCATGCCAAGGGGGGCGAAGCCATATGAGCCACAACGACGTGCACGCGCCCGCTCGGCCGCCTGGGCGGCGCCCTGGGCCCTCCCGCCTCACCGACCTCCCCCAGGGGCGAGACGCCGCGGCCTGCCAAGGGCGGCCGCCCAGCGGGGAGAGCAGATCCTCCTCCTCCTCCTCCTCCCCTCCCCCTCCTCCTCCTCCTCCTCCTCCTCCTCCTCCTCCTCCTCCTCCTCCTCCTCCTCCTCCTCCTCCGCTCCTCCCTCCTCCTCCTCCTCCTCTCCTCCTCTCCCTCCTCCTCCCTCCTCCTCCCCCTCCCTCCTCCTCCTCCTCCTCCTCCTCCTCCTCCTCCTCCTCCTCCTCCTCCTCCTCCTCCTCCTCCTCCTCCTCCCCCTCCTCCTCATCCCCCCTCTCCTGCTCATCCTGCTCCTCCTGCTCCTCCTCCTCCTCCTCCTCCTCCTTCTCCTCCTGCACCTCTCCTGCTCCCTGGCATCTGTTCTGTTCGGCTTCGGTCCTGCCATGGCGACCCCTCGTGGCAGCCAAACCCCGTCGTGAAGCGCGGCTGGAGACGGGGGAGGAGGGCAGGAGCAGCAGTGGTGGCAGCGGCAGCAGCAGGACGAGGGAGGGAGGTGGGGAGACCACGCGCACATCGCCGCTGCTCTCATCGTGCTGTCCATCGGGCGTCCGCTCCCCGTGCACGTCTCGGCTTCGCGTGCTTACCTTTCCCCGAGGTGGGCCAAGATGTCCCTCGATGGTCCTTGCGATGGAGCAAGCGTGCTCAGAAAGCGGCGGGGCTTCTCGCTTCTCAGAGACCCTGGCCCCTCCCGGCTCAGGGATCGCCTGACCCGGGTCAATCCAGACCCGGGTCAGTCAGGCCTTGCAAGATCCTGCAGGATCCTGCACCCAAACCCGGGTCAAAGCGAACGAAAGATCCTGCAAAATCCTGCATCCAAGCCCGGGTCAATGCGACCCTGCCCCTGCAGGATCCTGCAAGATCGGGCTCTCTGGCTGACCCCCGTTTGCATTGACCCCCATCTCGAGGCTCCCGATCGACAAGACGAGAAAGGCTCCAGCATCCGATCCGAGCCTTTCGGAGAGAAGGCCCGCCGCCTCGCGCTTCCCCTCGGGGGCTGGCCGCCGGAAGATGCACACTGTCGGAAGAAGCAGGCGAAATCAAGGGAGGAAAAACCACCTGGACCGGAAAAATTTGCGTTTACTGAACGGCCTTGGGCGTTTACTAAACAGCCCTGCCCTGTTAGATTCCTTCAGTGGGGGCGTTTAGTAAACGGCTCCGCGCGTCGGGGTGGTTATTATGGGGGTGGATTATTTGCCATCGGTGAAAGCACGAAGCAGGTAGGCGGATTGACTAGATTGGGTCCAGGCACTCCCAGCGAAGAACACGACACGGCAAACGCACATCGGTTCCTGAAGCAGGAAGGCGCTTGACACACATTGGGATCTAGATGCCCAGACCCCTGCCCCCCCCCCCCCTCCTCCTCCTCCTCGGCCTGGACCTTCGTGCTCCTCCTCAGCACACGACGTCGCCGTGCTGCTACTAATCTCGCCGCTGCTGCTGTCGCTGCGAAGCAGGATTTCCGTATCACGCGGAGGAGGGGGAGGAGGAGGAGGAGGAGGAGGAGGAAGAGGAGAAGGAGGAGGAGGAGACGAGGAGGAGGAGGAGAAGACGAAGAGTAGAAGAAGGAGGAGTCTCTAGCACCTTCCTTCGGGGCGACGAGATCTACACAGATCCACTGCCCCAAGCCTGGCCCATCCTGGGCCGAGGCTGGGCCAGTCATGCGGCAATGTATAGATGTCATGGCCCGATCGATGGATTCGTGTTCTGGGTTCCTTAAGTAGCGTGGGGGTGTCCCCCCCCGACGGTGGTCAACCTCGCCTCGTCGTCGCGCCGCGACGGGGGTCGGAGCGCCTTCGGCGCGCGGTGGCTGCCCGCGACGGGGGTCGCTGTGGGCCTGTCGGCGGAGGTGACGCCCCCCCGACGCTTATCAAGGAACTCGGGGTAAGTGATCCAGTATTAATGCTAATCGTACAGGCCCAATCTTACAAGCCCAAGACACTGGACAACACTAGTACAAACCCAAATGATATTCGTGTGCTCGTGTGTATCCAGCACCGTGCCTGCACGACTTGAAGTGCCAGAATGCTGCCTGCATGTTGTCTGGTAGGGCTTACTCGAATGTTTCATCTAGGACCGCCAGGCCCCATGCAGCGCACCCTCTCGGCCTCCAGACTCCAAACCGCCCTGCGACTTCCTAGGACCGCCGGTTGACAGCCGTAAGGTGCCCGAAGACCAGCCCAAGACGGCCAGCGACCCCCCGACGGCCCAGAGGCCACCGAGAGACACCCGATGTTGGCGGCGCGCACACGGGGGTAGGGTGGGGAAGGCTTCTTGGACGGAGGCTGCTTCGTAGAAGGCGTTGGGCCTACATTTTTAGAAAAGGCCAGCGCCTGCCAAGAAGCTGGGGTGCTTCTAACAACGCCTTCCCCCATCCCCCTACCCCCTCCCCCTCCGCGTGGCTGAAAAGAGGCATCCAGCGCAGCCCGATGATACCGATCACAGCTTTGAGCAAGCCATGCAGCACATGGCTTCGACCATGAGGAGTTTTTCGGCTGCAGGCTGGCTCGGGACAGATGCTTCAAAGAGCCCCGCGTGACCGTCCAAAGTGTCTAAGACTGCCTATTTGAAAGATGGCCCGAAGTCTTCCCCTCCCCTCCCTCTCCCCTCTTCCTCCTCCTCCTCTTCCTCCTCCTCCTCCTCCTCCTCCTCCTCCTCCTCCTCCTCCTCCTCCCCCTCATCTTCCTCCTCATCCTCATCCGCCCGATGACCTCCAAACATTGAAGGCCTCCCAGATAGGGTCCGAGAAGATTGGCTCGGAGGACCGCGCCGCGTCGCCAATGTTTGGGCGATGCATGCCGGCGGATCGTCGATGCATCGGCGACCACGGCGATGCATCGGCGACGTCGGCGTGGAGGGCACCGATTCAATTGGGCAAGATCGGGGGCAGCTCGGCAGCAGCGTCGGGCCCAAGCTGGCCCCGAGACGACCCAACGGGCCCCAGCCATTCCAACATGTCTTTTAGAGGCCCACCCAAGAAGCCCCAGAGAAGCCCCCAAGGAACCTCCAATATACATTCAAGTCGGAGGAGGGAGGAGGGGGAGTATGAGAAGGAGGCTGCGGGCAAGCAGAGGATCGCAAATTTAGACGGGGCGCGGAAATCGAGAGGGCGATCAAGACAACCTCATTGCTGGCACGTTGCTGCGCTGGCACGGTGGTGGTTCTCGCCGAAAGTAGGTGAATAATCCTAAACCGTTATGACCAGAAACTTTGGATCATCGCTACTAGTTCCTGTTGGCAAGGAACGGAGGTAAGCAGTTTCCCCGATCGCCCAGCCTACAAGCCAGTTGCTGTTGGGCTCGATGGAGGTCGTACTGTCCTGATCAACGTTGTGTCGATGCCCACCGAAAAACTCAAGGTGGCGTTTGGAGCCGTTTCTCAGCGCGCCCAAGAAGTCTGGATACTTCCAGAAATAGTCCGTAGGGTAATGCGTGAACACCACCATGTTTTTCGCGGTGCTCTCGCTGATTCGAGAGTAGAACAGCTCGAAGCCCTCGTCGGAGCGAGCCTTCAGGTTTGCCTCGCACTTCTTCTGGCAGGGGCTGTAGAAACAATCCAGCGGACACTGCTCGTGAGGCGATGCATTCTTGTCCCACGCCCACATCAGATGGTTCATGTCCAGGGCCACGACTTCCAGGTCCATCTCGGGGTGCTCCTTGAACCAACTGTTGCCGGGCATGTCCGCCACAGTGCCCCCTGACACGTCGCGGCGTCGTGACAGGCCTTTCACAACTTGTCTCTGGCTCTCCAAAAAAACAGCTAACGCCCCCGCGGCACATCGCCTCCTATCCAAGCCGGCAGACTTCCGGCAGACGTCCCAAAGACGAGCCCAAAGAGCGCAAAGAAAGGCCCAGGAGCCTTCAGTACCACCCCAATGCTCATTCTGGGAGGCCCGATGTCGCCCCAGGACGGCCATAAAACGGCTGAGCACTAGATCGACGCAACCTGTGGCTCTCTTGGAGACCTTGAGAGCCATCCTGAAGGCCCGGCAGCCGCCCCAAAGAGAGGCCGAACAAACAACAACCATTTGGCATGCGGTCTGAGCGCGATGGTAATCCCGCAGGCCCTTTTGGGCGTGAGTCGTTAATCGAGTTTCCTCTTCTAACCCCCCTCCCCCAGGCGACCCGCAGCCAACCAGGACCAGGGCCAACCCCCCCAAACAAAATCCCCGTCAACAAAAAATGTACTAAAACTCCCCCAAACTAAATCCCCGTCAACAAAATCCCCGTCAACTAAATCCCCATCAACAAAAAAACGCCAACATAATCCCCAAAACAAAATCCCCAAAAGTGCTCCTTGGGGCAAAATCTTGGGTTCTGTTCGGAGGGCCGACGAGCACCCCGATCTTTCGACAGGGACGCTGGTGGCGCCCGCACATTGGCTGGCCTGTGCAGGGCCACCATCTCTGCCGCTCACACAGCTGAAACCGTACTTCGCGGATAAAACCGGATCGCGCGCGGGCACCCCGCGATCACTTTGCCAAGGGTGGTGGGGGCCGAGCTGTTTCTCGATGTGTTGTTGCGTGCGCGCGCACGTGGCCTACTCTGCGCGTGCCCCGATCGTTGCAAATCTGGCGCGGCACGTGGAACACGTGGCGCATCTGGCGCACCAGGCGTGCCTGGCACGCTTGGGCCCCAGGGGTGCCTGGCGCACGCAACGCGCGTGGCGCACCTGGCACGCGTGTCGCACCTCGCCCCAGCGTCGCGCAAATGAAACCTGTGTTGGTTCCGAATAGCTGTCCATCCAAAGACGACCGCTGAACATGCTGTGGCTCAGGTGCTACTTCTGTGTTGGGAGGGCGGGGTGGGAGTGAGCGAGACGGCTTGCGGGCAGGGATGTCTTTACCCCTTCCCCGTCCCCCTCCCAGTGGACCTGGAAGGAGTGTTTCGCGAGGTGCCAGAGCGTTCAGGAAGCCCTCAGTCAGTAAGCAAGCATCATAAGTGTTGGGCCAGTCTAGGCTTCGTAAGGGCGGGGCTGATCCCACTAGCCCGATGGGCGTGAGTGGCTCAGAGCGTTTCCTCTTTCATATGTTCCTATTTCCCCTTCGGGGAGGCGTGCACCCTCTCCTCCACCCGACCAGCGACAAACCCCGAACCATGCGGGCACGCCCCCGCCACCCCTTGTTATTCAACCAAACGCAACCCTCGCGGCCATGCCTGGTTGATACATCCCCTGGTGTGCCGTCTTCCAGCTGTCCATTCGTCTCCGCTCCTCGGCAGCTGGATGCTGCCTGCTGGCCGTGAGCCGGCTCGGAAGATGACACGCAGACTGCGTGGAAGAGCAATGTGCAAGTACTTTTTGGTCAGCGGCCGCGGGCGAGCGCGCCGGCGGCGAGTCAGGTCAAAGCGGGCTACGCAGAGACTAATTAAGCAGAGGCAGCGCGAACATGCTAAAAGTAACGAAGCAAGCCGAATCCTCACGCGGCGGCCCAGCGGCGGGCGGGTGGCTGGAGGAGCTGAAACTGAGTGGAACAATGTGCGAGTACACGGTGCGGCCAGATCTGGACTGCGCGCGGGCGCCCCGTGGGCAGTTTGCACCAGCTGCTGACAGGGGCGGCGGGGGTGTCCGCAGGCTGTCGGCTCCGCGCCGGCCTGCGGTCCTTGCCGAAACGCAAGGCAGCATACACTTTGCGGCACAATCTGGACCGTGCTCGGACGCCCCATGATCACTTCGCACTTGTTTTTGACAGGGGAGTCGGCGGTGCCCACAGCCTTCCGCCGAACCAACTCAAGCCTCCTATCCTGGAGCTCCCAAACAATCAACCTAAAACGAAAGCTCAAATTGCAAATACTAACAGACCTGGTTTGAGGTAGCGTGACCCCTCACTCTAACCTGCTCCCCTGGGCCTGGACGAGGGGAGCCGCGAGGTGCCAGAGCGTCCAAGAAGGCCTCGTCAAGAAGGCAAACAATCACTGATGTTCCTATGGTTTTGGGCTAATCTTGGCGTCGTGTAGGGGGCGACGCTCATTTGGTACCCCCTACTTTCATCGGATTCCTCCTGGATGGCCCCCCCCAGATGGCCCCCAAGAGTGCCCCAAGAGGCGCCCAGGATGCCCCAAGAGGCCCCCAAGAGGCTCCCCAGAGACGACCAGAAGGCCCCAAGAGACGACCCCGGAGGCAGCCAAGATGTTCCAAGAGGCCCCCGGGACCGCCAATAGGCTCCAAAAACGCCCCCAAAGGACACCAACTAACTCTCAAGAGAAATCCGAAGAGACCCAGAGAGGCATCCGAGAGGCCTCTGGCCTCCATGCTCGCCGTCCTCCTTCTTTTTGTTTCTCTTCAGCATCATAATCATCCGCCTATGCCTCCTCATCCTTCGTCCGTCCTGCCCCCCTTTCCCTCCTCCTTCTTTTCCTCCTCCGAGTCCTCTTCTTTCTTCCCCAGTTTGGGGTATGACGGCGTTTCCAGCCCACTGTTCCACTGCATGCTCCTCCACATGCCTGATCAGGGAAACTCGTCTGGGCATCGTTTCTGGATGGGCTGAAGTTGCGCGAAGCGTCTAGAATTCAGTACGGCGCTCCTCATTTGATCGAACTCCTCCAAGATGGACCTCAAAGCTCCCAAGCGTGCTCCCAAGCGTGCCCCAAGAGGGCCCCAAGAGGTGCCCAAGAGGCCCCAAGAGGCCCCCAAGAGGTCCCCAAGAGGTTCACTGGAAACCTTGAAGAGGCCCGAGGCACGCAAGGCGCTTCAAGAGCCCCCCCCCCGCACACAGAACAACGAGAAACTCTCAAGAGAGATCCGAAGAGACCCCGAGAGGCATCCGAGAAGCCTCTGGCCTTTTCTGCTCGCTGTCGTCGTGGCGCAGAGGCCGTCGTGAGTCCCAGAACGCTCTAAGGAAAAGAAGAGAAGCAAGAGCAAGAAGACAGACAGAGAGAGAACACGAGCGAACAGGGCCTCCTCCCCACCCTCCTCTTCCTCAAACACCTGATCCTCCTCCTCCCTCCTCCCTCCTCTCGTCCTCTCCCTCCTCCTCCCTCCTCCTCCCCTCCTCCACCCTCCTCCATCCTCCTCCTCCTCCCTCCTCCTCCTCCTCCATCCTCCTCCTCCCTCCTCCATCCTCCATCCTCCTCCCTCCTCCTCCCCCTCCCTCCTCCATCCTCCTCCCTCCTCCTCCCTCCTCCCTCCTCTCCCTGCTCCTCGTCCTCCTCCAATGCTTTCTCCGTTCTCCCCCGCTTGGGGCAATCCTCGCGGCTTCTCCAGTCGGCCACTCCACTGCACGCTCCTCCACATCCCCGATCCGGGCAGCTCGCCTGGCGCCATCGTCTGTGGTTGGGCTGATGGGGTCTCCCGAAGCGTCTAGAACTCAATGGGCCCTGGAAACGACAGGGCCGTTTTTTTACCGGTTCCGGTTTGCCGTTTTTTCGCCGGCTCGTACGCCGATTTTGTTACCGGTTCCGTCGCCGTTTTTTGACCAGTTCCGGTTCCGGTTCCGATCCTGGAGCCGTTTTTGTTGCCGTTTCCGGTCGCCGTTGTTTTGCCGTTTCCATTTTCAAGGGACAATTTTTTGGAAACGGTGAAAAAACGGCCCCGCCGCTTCCGGGGCCCACAAAGGTCTAGAATAGCTTCCATGGTGGCCCGAGATACCGCCAAGAACGCCCCCAAGGAGCAACGAGCGAACCCACTAGGGGAAACATGGGGAGGTCGTTGGGCTCTGCACCGAAGGATTGCCCCAGCGACCGCCTTCAGGCCCTGAAGACGAGCCCGAGGACCCCCAAAGAGGCTCCCAAGGCGCTCCGAAGAGGCCGCCGAATTGGCATGAAAGGGGCCTACAAACAGAACCCAAGGGGTCTCCGTCGACGACCCAGACACGGTGGAAACCCGAGAATCGTGATAGGAACATAGTGGAATCCTTAGACCTGTGGTGGTTATGTTGTAGAGGCACCCTGGATTTCGATGCTGCGCTGACACGGTTGCGAAATTTGCCGCAGGCGGTTGGATAGAATGTACTCAGGTCGTCAATATCGTCGTTGACCTGCGCGAAGTCTGCAAGACACTCCAGCCCAGTCCAAGTCTGGATGATCGTCCTAGTCCTTCCCATCGCCCATTTCTCCACTCTCATCTTCCTCCTCCGTTCGCGTTCTCATGAATTCATCCCTCCTCCCTGCTCCCGCGTTCCTCCTTCAATGCCCATCCCCGGTCCGCTCTCGATCCGCGGCAAGAGGGGTGAGGATGAGGAATGAGGCCCAATCCTATCCAAATCGACACCCAGACCCATCCTGGGGTCTGCCCGGTGCAGTGCTTCCTCCCAAATGCGTTTCTTTCGGTCCCGAGGCCCGAAAACGGCCCCGAAAACTATTGAAAACCATGTCCGGAAACCGAACCCATAACCTCGAACCTGCCCCCCCACTCCTTCCTGCTGGCCGGAACCACAGCGCCGCCGGCGGGGAGAAGGAAACGCAGGAGAAGCGCGGCGGGAATGGCCCCGCCCCCGCCCGCGGGGCCTGTGCACAGTCCGCCGGGCCGTCGCCGCATGCGCAGGGGTCGTGCTGGTAGTCGTGGTTGCCTGCGGGGATCAAGCCGCCCAGGGAGGCCCCCCAAAAATGTGCGCAACTCCTTGGAACCCCCATCTGTTTCAATGATTTGCGTCTTCCCCGCCACTTCCAACTATTTTCCCATCTCTGGGAATCGCAGTTTAGTTGTGTCTATGTCTACTTGCCCCTCCTGAGGGGAGAGGGCTCGACCACGCGTGCCAAGGGCTGTCCAAGTGCTGCCTGCATGCGCAGAAGCTTTGGACCGATCGCAGAACAGAACGTACCCCATCAGTGCAGGTGCTCAGGAAGAAACCAAACACATGATACCGATTCGGCCGCTCCCCAGACCTCTTCCAGGGTGCGTTCAGGCCCAGATTTCGAAGCGAATGCAGCCGTGGCGACGAGGGCCCCCCAGGGGGAACAGACGGCGAAAACGAGGGACGGACAGCGGTATCAGTGCACTTTCCTCCTCGGCGGAACGCTTGCAATCCGACCTTAACCAGTAGCGTGTCACAAGTCTCCCTCGGGGCTGCGCAGCCGAAGCGGCCGCCGCGACGCGCAGACGGCGGCACGCACCACCGACTCGATCGAATCGCGGGGAAGCTCTTGTGACAACAGGTCCGCGACGTGCGCAATGCAAGCGCTCGGCAGATGGACCGAAACTAGACGGCAAGCTCGTGCCGTGACTTCGGCGCTGGCTCCTGGCACAGCGTGGATCGTCCAGCCTGGAATGCTGGGCGGCGTTTCGGTCCGACTGTTTCATTCCCGGCGGCTCCGAGGGGAGCGGTCTGCAAAAGCTGAGGCCTGCAACCCGCGCCTCGGGGGGGCGGGCGAGGACCTCAACAGAGTTCTCCGCCGCGCCCCGACGAGGGCAAGGTGGTGCAGCTCCAGGCCTCGACGACGCAGATCGCAAACCATAGCCCGGCGTAACCACACCCACTCTTTAGATTTAGGTCGGGCATGTCCTCCGACAGGCGGGTTTGGAAGACAGATGAAACAAAGTTGACAAAAAAGAACATGCGAGCACTGTCCAAATCCGCCGACCCTGTCGGCGTGTGCGGTGTGTGTGTGTGTGTGTGTCCCGTCCCGTCGACGGGGAGCCTTCTTTGGTCCCCTCCTTCCCATCCTCCTCTCTCGTCGGGGGAAAAAGAGTGTGAGAGAGAGAGCACCCTTCCTCGTTCGGGGAACGGACTCGCAGCGTGATGGAAGTCCATCCACGCCCTCATTACGTCAAAGGGAAGCCCCTCCTCTCTGTCTCCTCCCCGGCGGGGGGCGGGGGGAGCCAGCTTCGCATCGCCTCTGCATGGGGGTCCTCCTCACCCACGCCAGTCCTTCTCCGGCGCGCCGGTCCTCCTCGGGTCCTCCTCCCCAGGTGGGGGGGATTGGCGGCGCGCAGGGGGGGGTAGGGGGAGGGGGGAAGGCTTCTTAGAAGCACTCCTGCTTCTTAGAAGGCGCGGGCCTTCTCTATAGACGTAAGGCCGAGGTCTTCTAAGAGGCAGGGTGCTTCTAAGAAGCCTTCCCCCCTACCCCTACCCCCTTTTGCGCGCCGCCAAAGGGAGTCCCAGGGAGGGGGAGGGGTAGGGGAGTCAGATACGCACCCGCCCCTGGGGGTCCTCCTCCCCCTCCCCTCCTCTCTCCCACGCCGGCCCTCCTCCGGTCCTCCTCCCCAGGGGGGGGGGTCCCAAAGGGGGAGTCCTTTTCCTCTTCCTTCTCCTCCTCCTCCTCCTCCTCCTCCTCATCTCCGCCTCCTCATCCTGATCTCCGCCGCCTCCTCCTCCTCCTCCTCCTCCTCCTCCTCCTCCTCCTCCTCCTCCTCCACCAACTCCCCCTCCTCCCCATCCTGGTCGTCGTCGACGCCTTTCATTGTCGGCGGCACCGGCCGTCAGGCCTTCGCAATACAATCTAGTCGAAAATCGTCCTCAGACTATGTTTCGACTATTCTTGCATGCTCCGCCTGTAGAGGGAGGCAGGCACAACTTACGTCTACATCAAGATCGGGGAAACGTAAGACTCGGGTACGGGAAACTCGGGTTGGCCTGAAGGGGGCCATCATAAAAATGGCGAGACCCAATCTGAAATTTGACGCGAGCTCCCGCTGCTGCAAACATCCCACGAAAACGGGACCGTCAAAATCGAGGACGCGCTCGTCAAAAAAAAGGGCAGACCCGAGTTCCGGCTTACTCGAGTCTTACGTTTCCCCGACAAGACAGCCCGGCATTAAGATCTTCGGAGCTCCTCGCGAACTTCTTGGATCGGCGCTGGACCCCCTCCCTGGCGCGCGGAGCGCGCCCCTTGGGCGGCGCTGGGAGCGCCGTCAGAGGCGCCCAGCAACGATCCAAGAGAACTGCGGGGAGCTCCGAAAAAAACGTGGCTAATATTTTTGAAGGGGCCGTGGGACACACAAATAAATACACACAAAGACAACGATTCCCCATATTTTCATATATTTTCTGGGTGTCTGTCTTCCCACTCACTTCCCACATTTTCCCGTATTTTCTGGTGAGTCGCCGATTAATTGTGTCTGTGTGTTTCTTTCCCTCCTGAATTTTGGGCGCCCGCATTGGGTTGGAAAGAAATGGGAACGATGCCCATCAACAGATCTGATGTCCAACACCGACAGCGGCCGCTTTTGGGCAGGCGGCCTTCTGTCTTAAATGGACACCGCTCACGGCGACACCGACACCGAATCCTGCGCAAAAGGAACAAGAACTGCTGTCGGTCTTTGTACCCGTGTAAGACGAAGCTGGGGCAATAATAAATCTGGGCAAGGATAAATCGAGAATCTGAGAATCGGCGGCTCTGGGGGATGTCTCGGGCTCCGCGGCCTTCTAAAGCGTTCCAGAACGCTCTTAGAGCGTTCTGAGAGCGTTCCGGAACGCTCTGTAACGGTTTGCTCCTCGTCCTAGCACCGTCTGGCCATGCTTTCCGTACCCAGTTCGTTCGTGCCGATATGCATGTCTTGCGCTCTCTTGCGCAAAAGAAGCCAGCATGAACGTAACCTTTTGGCGCTCGGCGCGGATTTCTTGGATCTGCGCAGGACCCTCTTTCCTGGCGCGACGAGAGCGCCAGGGTCGGCGCCGGACGCGACGCCAGGAGGGGGCCATCGCGGATCCAAGAAATCCGCGCGGAACGCCGAAATATTATGTTTGTGCCATGTATGGTTCTTCTTCATCGATCTCTTGTTGTAATTGATGATTGTGTTGTTGTTTTTGCCGGCGTTGTGAATGTTGTTGTTGTTGTCGTCGTTGTCGTTGTCGTTGTCGTGGTCGTTGTCGTTGTCGTTTTTTTGTTTCTCTTGAAATTCGGGGGGGCTCTCGAGGCTGCTTGGAGGCCCTGCGCAAGGTGGTCGACTCCTTGGTCGAGCAGTCCGCACTCCGCCGCGGCAAGGGGGGGGCGGACCTTCCGAGGGGAGCTCCCACCTGCCGCGCGGGGTGCCGTGCACCCGCGGCGGCAGCGCTCGCCTCCTCGGGGCCCCCTCCCTCGCCAGTCGGCGAGTGACCCAAACACTTGCATCACACCATGCGTCTGCGAGCGCTGGGTGGCGGCGGGCCAGCACACGTAGACGGGCTTCAAAAACCTGTTCGGCAGCGGCAGAGCGCCCAACCCGACGGGCGTTCAGGGCCGCAAGGCTTCCATGCAGGAAGCACGACGGAGGAGACCAGCAACATCGTCAAATGCAAGGAGGAGGCAAGAGGGAAACCAGTGGAAGGAGCGCTCACCTTGATAGACCCGAATATGTCTCCCCATCCATCTCCTGAGAAGTGATTCCAGCCTCGGACAAGAAGAGTAGTGGCAAAGAGAACTGTTGTCGACTCCGTCGACGGTCTGGCACCCGAATAGACACCCTCGTGGGGCTGAGTGAAATCGGGGGCTCGTGCAAATAGATCCAGTCAGCAAACGAAAGGGAGCCATGCCAACATACATACTCGTTGCTTTGCACACCCTCTGCAGGTTCTCCTTCAGAGTGACGATATGCTCACGCGTGACCTCAGGGCAAAAGTGATGGGCGCGCCGAAGGAGGATGGACTCAACACTCTCACTTGTCTCTAGATCTCGAAAAGCCCGATAGAGCCGATGTTGTAACTTGTTCGAAGGGGAAGGGATGTCGAGGGAGAGCCCGCAATACCACTCTTTGACCGACCTCAAATATCCCCAGAGGCCTTCAGCATGCCACCCACGAAGCCATCTATAAGGAATGTGTTCGACGTCTGAACGAGAGGCCTCCAGCGAATCCAGAAGCCCAAAGAGCAACCCAAATCTCATGAGATACCGACGGGCAGTGGCTTTCGCAACCGCGTCGAGCTCCAGGAATTCAGTGGCGAATCCGACGTGCGTAAGTTTCGTGGCGACGTTGTAGGAAATGGCGTTCCTGGGCCCTGAGGTGAGGAGGAGCACTCCGCTGCGGCAGGCGGACGCCAGTTCCTGGGAGGGCGGGTCGAGCTGGAGCCTGAATAGGAGCTTGCTAGCGCACATGACGCGAAAGGCGGCCGCGGACTGAGCAATTCCCAATCCCAACGCACGTGTCTGGTGTATCCTCGCAACAAAGCTGGGGAGGATGGGAGACCATACCTGCGCGGCGCCCTCGGGGCCGATCGGGAAGCCAAGGTAGGTGGCGGAGAGGGAGACCTGCATGAGGTTGTAGGGCGCGCCGAAGGAGCGGAGGGGGGGGCGGATGGCTGAGGTGTCCATAGCCCCGCAGACGACCACCTGGCACTTCCGAAAGTTCAGCCGTGGGTTGGCTACCGCCGCCAGCGCCTCCAGGCTGCCAAGGAGCGCTTTGAATGACGAGGAGATTCGCTCAACTCCAAATCCGAAGTCGTCGGCATAAGCGAGGGTCAGCCCCAGCGCTGAGCGACGCCCTAATCCATGCCAACAGAGGGTTCACGGCGAGTACGAAGCGGCACATGGAGGCGGGGCAGCCTTGTTTGACCCCAGACGCGATACGAATGAGCCCATGACGACGACCACGAAGTGAGAGGATAGCGGTGTTATCGGAGTACATCATCCGAAAGAAGTGGACGAGCGAGGGAGGAATGCCCATGGCCTCAAGCACGAAGAAAAGCCACTCCCGCGCCAGGCTGGGAAACGCCGACGCGAAGTCGGTCAACAGTAAGGCCGCATCCGAAGATGCCGTCATGCATTTCCCCACCCCCCAAGCCTCCGCCCTCGCCACGTGCTCAATCATGTCCCTCCCGCTGACGCACTTCTGTTCCTCCCCTATCTAGCTAGCAGAGTTCGCAACAATGGGCATGACGCAGGCGGCGGCTAAGATCTTAACATCCGTGTTGTCCAGGCAGATGGGTCTGGTGGCGGCAGCCTGACGGTGCAGCGGGTGGCCTGGGCTGTCATCCTGAAGGGCGCCTTTAGGAAGAAATGCAAGCAAGCTGCAGAGCATGTCAGTCGGGAAGGAGGAGATGCGGCCATCGAAGAGGGCGAGGTAGCACGAGAATAAAATACGAGCAGCACATGGCTGATTCCACACGGCATACGGTAGTCCTGCAGGACCAGGTGTGCTGTGTGCTCGAGTCCGAACCATCTCAGACCACACGGCGTAGGGTAAGCACCAGTCGACCGATAGCGGGGCCTGTACGGTGCGGATATGGGTGGCAATCGAATTCCACTGGGAGCGGTCGACTGTGGGGGCGGCAAACTGCTGCTCCCAGAAGGCCCCGAGAGCAACGGCGGCCTCTGAGTCGGACGAGGCGTGGGCTCCGTCCACCGAGATGCTATTCCCCAGGACAGCTCGCTTCCGATTTTGGTGCCAGAGAAGCCGCCGCCGCCGTAACCGAGCCATCGCCGACCTTTTCACCGAAGCATCCGAGGAGCTCCTCCGGATATCGCCTTCCTCCTCCTCCAGTATTTGCCTGCATGTGCAGAAAATATGCTGCGATAGCCCCTCGAAGTGAATGCGCCGATTGAGTTCATCGAAGTGGGTCCGAAGCCGAGGATGACATTCGAGAGCGAGACGAGCCCCCTCCTGGTCGCCACGTATCACCGCACGCATCGCAGAGAGAGCCCAATAGTGCTTCTCCTGTCTCGCGCGGGCAAGACGACGCCGCAGAGCAAGTCGGGCCGCGCGGCCCGCTTCAAACATCATTGACTTGGCAAGCTCCAGACGGTTCCACTCGTCCCAGGCGGCGGGGATGGTAGCAATCACCTCCTCAAGGGCCTGTCCGAACTCAGGGGTCTCGGCAAGCCATGCAGGGATGCAGGGACTCCTGGGGTCGGGAGAGTACCTTGTGATAGTAGAGCGAACGGGCAGGTGGTCGCTGCTCATCACCGCTTTGAGCTTCCCGACGACAGTGGTGGAGATGGTGAGGTCACGGATAAGGGCGGCAGGAAGGGAGGTGTAGATCCGATCTAATCGCGAGGTCGAGGCGACGGCGGAACCCTTCTTTCCCCTGCGGGCGTCGGCTGGCTGAACTAGTTCAGTGAAGTGAGGAAGAGACGGCGAAAGCACCGCGAGCGTCCCGCGTCGCCGGCAGAGATACCACTCCCGCCCCCGTTGAGCCTCCCCCCCTCCTCTAAGACAGAATTCCAGTCCCCCATGAGCAGGATGTGCGCGCCTGCGATAGCGCCCTCCCCCTGGTGCAACAGAACGTCGCGCTGCAGCGCGCCGAGCACTCCAGCAAAAAGAGGGAATGCATCAGAAGTATTCGGAAGATGAGATTGTGTACACTCAGATTCCCATAATCCCCAGTCAACGTCGATTTGATCAACCTCCCTCTGACCAAAGTAGTGTGAGAGACGGAAGAGAAGAGATGAACGAGAGCAGGACTGAGAGCGGCGACAACTCCTCCTTCCCGCGAGGAGTCCTCAAAGAAAGAGTATCCGAATCGGAAGCCAGGCAGGCTGTGTTCCAACTCAGCAATATCCCCGATATGTCCATGTGTTTCTTGTACGGTGATGATGTCATTGGTGTTGCAGAGCGATAGGTAACGGTGGTAACGGCCCCGAGCACGCCAGGAGTTCGTTTTCACAGTGGCGACGAGGGCGCCAGTGTTCCACGCACAAGGGAAAGGGGGGAGGGGGGAAGAAAGAGGGCGGAGGCGCGAGAGGGGGGGGCCCGAGTTGGAAAACGGTCTGCCTCCGTCTTAAAAGGGCCTGCGGAGCGCCACCGCCCCCGCAGCCTCGATGCGTTCGATGTGTTCGACGATTCCAAATTCAAGGAAAACATCTCTGGCGCAGCGGATCTCGATATTCGACTCTCCTGAAACTATCACTTTGACCGCCTGCACGGGCTCGTGGGCCCGCCGCAGGAAGAACACTGAGCCGCCGAGCCCTGTGCTGCCTACCTCCACGCCCTTCGGTGCAAGGAGGGCAGTGAGTGCAGCTCGGATCCTCCCGAGGGAGAGGAACAGCTGTCGGGAGATGGGGCTGAGATCGCGACGAAGGCGAAGTGAAAGGGGAGGGGCGCCTTCTGCAGGGTCAGGCACACTCCATGTGCCCCCTGCTTTGATGAAATTGTCCAGGAATGTGCTGGCGCTGAGCGCCGTCTCAAAGAGGAGCGTCACCTTCTTCGAAAGATCAAAGCCGCGGGCAAGGATCCTTGCCTGCTGTGCTTCGGGAGAGAATTGCCTAATACACGCATTGCCAATCTCACGAAGATCTTTGGCTAGGAGAGGCCCCGGAAAGCCTAAGAGGACCAATTTACGCGCATCCTGCTGCGGCTGGTCGGGTGGGCTCGGACGCGAGCTACCCCTGGCACTAGAGGCACTGGAAGAAAGGGGGGGAGAGGTCGGGGTCGGAGTGGAAAGCGACTCACACAGCCGAGCCTCCGAAATGCACTGACGATGGGCCAGGTCGGCCAGTTGTCGCTCTATGCCGTCGCACTTCTCACTAAGCGAGGGGCAGGTCATGGCGGCATCACCTGTACTCACTGCGAGGAGCTCAGTGCGGAGGGCATTCATCTTCGCGTCCTGTGCCGAGATGACGTTCTTCAACTCGGTGTCGAGCATCTGGTGCTTGGACTGCACGTCGCGAGCGAGCAGCTTCATCTGATCTGCGAGCTCCCCGCACCGTTTGAAACTTCCCTGCACGGCACCCCGAAGCTCGGCCAGTTCCGTTGCGTTCTGCGACACAACCTGGTTCATGCTGGCGATGCTGTAGGCGATCGAGTCGAGCTGGGAGGTGATCCGTGACTGGTTTTCGCCGTCGGAGCGGCGGGCGTCGGGTGTCCTGCTGGCGCTCCTTCTTGGAGCAGATGAGGGCGACGAAGACCGTGCAGAGCCACGCCGCTCAGAGCGCCGCTTCCCCATGGCAGCAGTCTGGGCGAGGTGAAGTGCACGGCGAACTGGGAGGAACCGCCGCAAAATGCGGTCAGAAGGCACGGGCGCTGAAGCTCACGTGCCGCGAGGCCTGTCCTCGCAAAAAGGCCGCCCTGAGCCGTCCCTTCGGCAGCGACCAAGCTCGAAGCGCCAGGGAAGCGTTTCGAACTTGAGCCAAAATGGTTACGGATTGTCGTTGTCGTTGTCGTTGTCGTTGTCGTTGTTGTTGTTGTTGTTGTTGTTGTTGTTGTTGTTGTTAAACATGTTATATTTTTGTTTGTTTGTTTATTGTCGTCGTCCGCCCGCGACACGGTCCGCGACCCACCCGCGACCCACCCGCGACCCACCCCGCACCCAACCCCTCACTCTGATCCGCAACTGTTGAGCAGGGACCGACAGTCCCGGCATCTCTATAGGCCTACAACGAAATCTTCTTAGAACTCAGAAATGTTCCAAGAACAGACGCAACGTTCGTACCACATGCACCCGATGTGTTCAAACAAGACAGACTCAGGCAGAAATGTCCTAAGAACATGTCGTGCAAACCGCAAAAAGGCTCTTAGAACAATTTTTCGGTGTGCCTGTAAGCGAGCAGGGACGCTTCGCCACTGCTCGAAACTGTGGGGTGCCGGTGCCAGGTATTCCCTTCTTCATCTTCGATCCCAATCGCCGACGCGCTGGCCGATTCTCTGGCCCACCGGTGGCGCCCGCCTTGGAGGCCTGGGAATGGGCACTCACACCAAAACAGGTGGTTTTCCTCCACATGGGGGAGATGATCCTCGACTTCGGTGCTGGTGGCAATCTTTCGGCCACCTTGGAAGCCATCATGGTACCACCATCACAGAGATCGGGATCTTCTTCCCTCGGTGGGGGCACACCGACGGAATTGGTGTTGGTGTCAACATCTAGGCCTGCGATACACAGTGAAAGCGTATAGTAAGGACGCGTGGTAAGGACGCAAGACCCTTGGAGGCCGAAGTTGAAGTATTCTGGGCGGCGGGCGGCCAAACCCCCAGGGAACCTGAGAAACTGGCCTGCGAGAATTGCTAGGGACGGGCCGCAGAGGCTGAGGCAGGCCAGGACCCAAGGGCACCCTCGAAAAAGCCGTTTGTCCTTTCTATGCGCGTTGACTGTATTCCCTTCTCCTTCTTCGATCGCAATCGCCGACGCGCTGGCCGATACCCTGTGCCACCAGCGGCGCCCGCCACCGAAGAGCACCCGCGGCAGGGGTCGGCCCGCCGCGCCGAAGCACGAACCCCGGGCCCCCGCCGGGCACGGGGCCCGCGGCGGGGGGGAGGCCCGAGATCTCGCAGCACGCGTGGTGCTCCGGCTGCTGCTGCTGCTGCTGCTGCTGCTGGAGGTGCCCTCCTCCTCCCACTCCTCCTCGTCCTCGTCCCCCTCCTCCTCCTCCTCCTGGTCCTCCTCCTCCTCCTCCTCCTCCTCCTCCTCCTCCTCCTCCACCTGTGCCACTGGTAGGGCGCCCACAAGGAACGTACGCGCCCAACCACATACAGAAACACGGCCCCACAGTCTGTGAGACAAGCCGCGGGATACGAACATTCGCGCACACGCGTGCTCTCGAAGCGAACGTGGGTTCATGTAGGCTTACGTCCATCTTTGGCTCCTGTTTCAAACATTCGGCGACGACCCAAAATGTCTTCTGGGTGGGGGAGAAGCCGGCCGATGGTCGAACCTTTTCGCTGCGGGCAGCGCCACGTGTGCCCCCGCGCGCGCCAATCCTGCGCGCCCGCTTCGGACCTGCGCAGCCCAACCGACAAACTCAGGTCATACGAGGGGTGGAGGCCGTGGACGCCCGAAACGGGTACGGAAAAAATGCGCACGGTGCCCAAGAGCGAATGTTGTTCCAAACCACCAGCGGCCGCTGCTGGGCAGGCGGCCCTCTGTCTCAGACGGACACAGCCGCGGCGGCGCGGACAGCGCGTCCTGTTCAAGATGAACAGGAACTGCTGTTGGGCATTGTGCGGGCAATAGTTATATCCACATCCAGTGCGTCTTGGAGTCTTGGGCTCTCTCCCCCAGAAACCGTAGACGCACTGGATATGGATAAACATCTGGCCCCAAGAGAGTTGATGTTATCCATATCCAGTGCGCCTCGGCGTTGTGGCACCTCTTCCCGGAAAGTCCAAGACGCTCTGGATATGGATATAAGCACTGCCCACACATTGTACTCCAGATGTCGTAATAAAAGGGAGGGGGTCTCATTTCGGGGGGGGGGTCTCTTCCAGGCTATCTTGGAGGGCCTGGGGGGGGTCGGGGGACGGTGTTTTGGAGGGTTCTCCCACGGGGGGGGGTCTAAAACTTCTCGTCTGGGAGGGTTGAGACCCCCTCCCTCTTATTACGAACTCGGGAGTACCCATCCCTTCCGTACCCGTGTCCTTCGTGCCGAGAGGCGGGCGGGCCTGATGACCCCGGTCATCGCTGGACTCCTGCTCAGTGCCTCTGCTCTGCTCCTCTTTGCGGCCCCCCCGTCGCCGTACACGCTGTACCAGGGCACGGAGCGGAGCTCCTCCGAGTATCGGGCTCTCCACTTGGTCTCCCACGCGGGGTCGTCCTTCGAGGTCACTCCGTTCGGGTAGAACGAATCGCCGACGTTGATGATGAACTTCACGTCCCCGAGCCTCTCCATCTCCTCGGCCATCAAATCCGCGATCTGCTTCTGGCAGTCAGAGCTGTACGTGTTCCCGTGCACGTTGTCGTCCCAGCCCCAATCGCCGATGACCAGGAAGGACCCCAGGCGGCCCCCGCTTCCGGCCCCGTTCTCCTGGGGGAGGGGGGGGCGACGGAGGATGGCGACTAGGACGGACAAGGGCGGAGGGAAGCTGCGGGAGGAACGGCAGCACGGACCCACCCCTCCTTCCAGAAAAAAGCGGCGTTCTGCAGGAGAGACTCCTTCAATCTGGGCGCGACCCTGGTGGGCCCCACCCCCCTTCAGGCGGTTCAGATGCGATCCTGGTTGCAGACGCCAGTCTGCGCCCGAACGAGTCTGATTGGGCCCGCGGTTCCCCCTCCACTGGCCCAAGACGGCCCAAAACGGCCCGACAGAAGGCCAAAGAAGAGGCCCCCGGGACAGCAAACGTACCCCGCAAGGCCCCCTCCACTGTCCCAAGACGGCCCAAGAGGCCCGACAGATGGCCAAAGAGGCCCCTGGGACGGCAAACGTGCCCTGCAACCTCCTGCAAGAGAGGCCCGGCAGAGAGAGCCCGCAGGGACCCAGGAACCCTCCCCCTCACGGCTGCTCCCCGCGGCCTGTCACCCGCGTGGCTGCTTGTGCTCCCGCTGCCTGCAGCTGCCCATGCTGCACGTTTTCCCACTCCTCCCCGCCTCCCCCTCTTCGGCAGAAGAAAAGGGGCAAGGCAACGAGATGGGGGGGGACCTGGCTCGGAAGGGAAGCGTCGACCTGGCATCGGCCACGCGCTGCCGATAGATTGGCGGTGGGCCCCACAGAGCAAAAAACAACTAAAAAACACGCTGGTGGGCGGAGCGGGCTACAGGCCCCCATCGCCGGGGAACACGCGATGTGGGGTCGAGGCGTCTCACCCCTGAGCCCTATCCCCGTTCCGGCGGCGAGGCAGGGGGGAAGCGAACAGGAAAACGGCTCCTCAGAAGGCGGCGGGACTTCTCAGAGGCCCTCGCGCCTTCCGAGCGGTTTTTGCTGTGTCCGGGGAAGGGCTGGGCAAACTTCTTGGAAGGCCGGGGGGGCTTCCGAGACTTCTGAGAGGGCTTGTTCCTGCTCACTTCCCCCCCTCGCTCGCCGCCGACCCCTGTCGCTGCCCCTTGGCTGTCGGGGGCCATAGCGCTGCTCCCCAGCGGCCGTCTGGACGATCTGGGCACCACTCTGAAGCGCTATCGGCGAGGCGCAAATGCTGGGACGCACCCCGAGGCTGGAAAACCACCGATCGTCGGCGAAAACGCCAGAGAACCTCCACCCTCGAGCATGTCCCCACCCCTCCTTTGAGCCTGCATATCCCAGGCTGGGAAACCGCAGCGAAAGAAACGAAAACGCCTGAACATCCTCGCCCAAACATTGCAGTGGATGAGGAGGAGGGGCTGGAAGGAGGAGGATGGGAAGGAGGAGGATGAGGAGGAGGATTCAAGCTAGGATTCAATCGAGGCAACAGTGTTGCAGCCACTAGGCCCCGACTCAAGAAGGACAGCGCGCGCGGGGCTTAGGGGTTAGACTCCGCGGATGCATCCTGGGACAGAGCGGGGGCAGGGCCGGGCTCGCTTGACGAGCCAGCTCCACACGCACTCAGCTGCCTCGCGCGGGCAGCAAACTCTTCACAAACCCGCATCGCCATCTGAACCGCTTTGGGGGGGCCCTCACGCCTAGGGGGAAGGCCTTTTTACGCAAACGGGCGAGATTGTCCAAGCCTTTGCGACTCGGGGAACACTCAGCAATAAGATGACGGGGGTCAGTGGTGGCGTAGGCCCCGCAGGTATGACAGAAAGTTAGAAAGCACTCATCCACACGTCTAGCGAATGCGACGGATGGACCTCGACCCCCTGGAGCTTCAAGCCGATTCCCTGAAAAATGCTAACAGGAGGAGCAGGGGGGAGAGGAATACAAGGGCTCGAGCTCAACACCAGGAGTCTGGCCTTGTGCACTGTCTGGCGACAGGCCTCGCAAACCCACGCAGAGCTCCCCTGGGTGGAGGCGGTGGGCGGAGGCTGCAGCAACACGAGCTACACGAGCCCTCGGCACCACTTGCGCGGGCGCCGCTGTTCTTTCAGCCATCAAGTTTGTCTCGACGGCCGCTAAAACGATGAGGGCACGTCGGGCGCGCCTCCTGATCACAGCAGCAGCAGAGTCGACCGCATCGGTCCGAGGAAGGCGCCCCCACCACCCCCCTCCCCGACGCCAACTCCGCCGCCCTCCCCGCCCACATATCCGCAGCCATGTTCCCTATGACCGTGAGCATATCTTGCTCACTGTTGAAAGTCGCTCTCTCGTCGGTGTGCAACGGAGTCCACCGAACGACTAACTGGCCAGGCCTGGATCTCCACGACTTCCTAGCGCGCTCCCAGAGGTTCTCCTGGAAACGATCGGCTCCAGGGTCCCCCAGGACAGACTTCCAAGACCTGGCAATATTCTTATGACCAGTGACATACTCCACATTACGTGTCGCTCTCTCGAGCATGAGACAAAACGCGAGTAGCTCAGACCTCGGGACAGACTGCTCAGGCCCGAGGAGAGGAGGGGCAACTCCCGCGTGCTCCTAATGCGCGCCCTCCTCGTTGCGAGCCAGGGCTACGATCGCCGCGCCGCGTCTGCGCCGACGGGGATCGTCAGAATGCTTCCCACCCGGCCCGCCCCCGAACGCCACCGCCCACCCCCCCTCTCTGCAGTCCTCGAAGGCGCCGGGCAGCCTGAGCTCCAGCTCGGCCAGCAGCGCCTCGTCGAACCGGGGTGTGGTCACGCAGACAGTGGGAACTCCGCGGAGCCAAAAAGTGGGCTCGCTCTCGTGCTGCGCCAACGCCGCCGCACTCAGCGTGGAGGTCTCATCGCAATCATCGTGGCCTCTGTGACACTCACGAGGCCAAATCCCATGACCAAGCGTCTCTCCGCATTCGAGCCCACTGTCCACATGCCACAACAGTGAGGGTCAACCCATGCTCGTCGCACTGGCTGCGGGAATGGTAGCGCTTGAGCCCCCTCACGATGAAAGAAATCGCCACCTCCTGCAAGGCCCTCACCAGTGTCTTGCATGCTCGCGGCAGACCACAAGCTCTCACGGATGTCAGCCGCGAGGTCATCCAAGAGCTTAGTTGTAGAACCAACTTGCAGGAATGCCTCCTCGCTGCCCGACGGGATCTGCCACTCATCCACTCCAGCCGCAGCGGGCCGAGACCATGCGCAAGCCGCTCTGGGATCCCACCCCGCATCGAGTAATGTAGGAATCGCTGCAGAGATCGGCCCACGGACAATATCCCACCTCCTCTTCTCAGCCTTCAAGACCTGCGCTCGAATGGGCGCCCGAACCAACTTCGCGCGTCGGTGTAGATCAGGTTGAGATTGCCACAGGCTGAGCCAGTGCATACTTGCTGCCGACGCATCTCCGCCGCAGGGTCCTCGAGGCCGAAGGGCGCCGCCATCGTGCTCGCCAAGCAGTGCCCCCCGTGGCCCCCCGTCGCCGCGGCTGCCGCCTGGCGCCGCAGCGCCAGTAATGCCGACGGCGGGGCGCCATGGACCTGGAGGCCGCAGGTGGCCCGCGGGCACGCCCCAGTGGCCCGCAGGCAGCGGGCCTCTTGACCCAGGTCGGCCGCGCGCCTGAGCCGCTCGACGCGGGCTGCCTGGCGCTGCGCCTTGACCCGCCTGGAGAAAGCCTCTGCGCAGACTCTGCGCCTGGCGGATGCCGCGTCAATGCCGAGGTCGACGCCCGGGGATGCCGGCTTGACTGGGGCGCCTCGCGCACGCAAGCTTCAAGCCGACCTCTTCGTTCGCTTGGCCGAAGACCCTATGAGCGCCGACTTGGGGGCGGGGCCACCGCGCGCTGCTGCTCGAGCCCTCGGGTCAAGGTCGTGCCAACAGTATCCACAACATGCAAAACCGACTCCTCTGTATCTTCGCATCGTCCCACATTGTCGTCTATGAACGTCCATAGGGACGCCGTCGTAGCCTCGATGAGAACCCTGTCGAGAATGTGAGAAAGACTAACTTGGAGAAAAGGCCCCCCTGTGACGGTCCTGCAACGATGCTGCGAGTCGGAAAGATGGCCTCGCTGCGCCATCCTCGATCTCTCAGGTAGACCCGAGACTCGGGACCCATGACCGCCGGGCTGAATCCGAAGTCGAGGCCAACCTGGAGCAAGCCAACCATCGAGACGCTGTCGCAGAACTTCTCAATATCCAAGAGCAGCACCAGGAAACTCAACTGCTGCTCCTGGACCCCTTCACTAAGCGTGGCTCTGAACAAGGCAGCTCTGAGGGCAGAAGACCCTCTGATGGCGGCGTCCCAGAAAACCGCTCTCCCAGGGCGCCACTGCGACATAAACGTCTGGCGGGCACTCGACCACAGCTTGACAGGGAGCGGGGCCATGCCAAGGACGCGGTCGCCCTCGCCCGACGGCTTCGGAGCGAGGGCGGACAAGGTCGCTGTGTGCTGGAGCGGCCACGCCTGAGCAACCCCACGGCGATGGAGGATGTCCACCAGCGCCTCGATGCCAAGGTCGGGTAAGCGTGCGAGGTCACCCGCTCCTAGCCCATCAATTCACGAGCCTTCTTGTTGCCCGCGACACGTATGCTGGAGAACACCTGTTCAACTTGCAATGGAGGGATGTCCTCCTCCGCCGCCCTGCGTCGGATGCACCCCAAGCATGCGCAATGCTGCAGGGCGTGTCCACTGCATCGGTCCAAATCTCCCTCCACTTCTCAGCCTCGTATCCATGATGGCGGCTGGTTCCGCCACCGCATCGGCCGCGATGGGAGTAGGCGTGATCACAACATTCGCTTCCTCAGGTCGAGGAGCCACTGGATCACGGACGCGTCGGTGAAGTGCCCCAAGGGCGTGCGCCACATACGCCGCGCCCAATTAACATAGGCCTTGCGAGACTTGCCGATGCCACGAACAACCTCACTAGCTGCAGCCGGCTCAACACCAATCACAGCCTGCATAAGACCCTGGACTAGCTGGTCGCTGGTGAGCTCGTCGATGCTGTCGTATAGGGTAACCATGTGGTCGAGGGCGGCCTTGGCCCTCTCACGCAGGCCGGGTCCCAGGTCTAGGTGGTGCTGGCGCAGATGCTGGACTTGGCCAGCAGCACTAGCCAAGGCACTGCGCATCTGGTCCTCGCCCTTGTCGTGCTAGAATATAGCCAGGGCCCTCCATCAGAGTGTCCATGACGGGCCAATGTTCTGCGCCTTCATGCTTCCAGTGCCGGCGCCCCGGGACAGATACCGACTTCTTCCAAGTAGCAGCATAACAGCAAAGCCGCGCGCCCTGCCTGGAAAGGGCTGCTTCTCCTGGGCCGTCATATTTGGGTCGAGGAGAGACTGCTTAACGATGCGCCAGTTCCAGTCCCACTGCTTGGCAGAGCGGCAGGGCGGGGTGGAGCACAACGTATAGTCCGCCCTCGGCTGCGGCGGCGCCGTCGCGGGGACCGCGGGGCACACGGCAGAGGACGCGTGACCTCTTGGCCCCAGCAGCGCGCAGCTCGACTGGGGATGCCTGAAGCGAATGCTGGCTTCGGACTAGAGGTGTCCACGCCTTGCCCGAGGGACAAAAACATCTTGAGCCAAAATGGCTACGGAAGGGCAGGAGGAGGAGGAGGAGGATTGTAGTGTAGCGCTGATGCCCTTGAGGGTAAACACCCTTTACGTCTCGGGTGGGGCACTGTGGGATCAACTGCCACTTTAAGTCGGTGCTGGTGAACTCTAGGAGGTACTACGTTCTATGGATGGGGTACAGTGCACCTTCCGATTGCAGGACGAGGAGACGACGGGATGAGGACAAGCTAGGTGCGCTCGCGTCATATATGACGTCCTACCTCTCCCTCCCATCCCTTACCATGCCGCATATCTCCTCCCTATCCGCACAATCGGATGTCGTAGCATGGCGTAGCATTACATGGCATAGCAGGGTGTTGAATACTAACGCCCCAAAATGACGTGGCATACATGGCGTAGCATACATGGCATGGCTATAGCATGGCGTAGCGACGTCCTTAAATGAGGGGGGGGCTCCTGCGAACAAAAAATCATAGAATCGACACCGAATGTGAAACACTTCCAAAGGTTTCTTCGGGAGGCCATTTTTTAGATCTTGGGGCCTATTTTAAAGGATCGGAAACCATGCCGTGGCATGGCACTGGAAATAATGACGCAAACGCTGCAGCGGGAGCACGATCCGGATCGAGCGGGAGCGCGGCAATGAGGCCAGCGCGGCAGCGGGAGCACGATTAAGCACGAGCGCTAGCCCGAAAAAATTGGGAGGATCGAAAACCATGCCGTGGCATTGCGCTGGAAATATTAACGTCAACGCTGCAGCGGGATCACGATTCGGAACGAGCGGGAGCGTGGAAATGAGGCTCGGGCTCCAGCGGGGAGTACGATTTGGAACGAGCGGCAGCCGGAAAATGAGGCCAACGCTTCAGAGAGAGCAGCATTTTGACAGGAAAAAAACAAGCGCGGAAACGCGGAAATGAGGACGCGTAGCCTGACATAGTATGGCGTGGCGACGCCCCAGGGCTGCTGCGGAGCAAAAAATCAACAGATCGACGCCAAGTGTGTAATCACTTCCGATGGTTTCTTCGGGGGGGGGGGGGGGGGGCATTTTTTGGGCATTTTTTAGATCTTGGGGTCTATCCGGAAGGATCGAAAACCATGCCGTGGCATGGCTCTGGAAATAATAACGCAAACGCTGCAGCGGGAGCACGATCCGGAACGAGCGGGAGCGCGGCAATGAGGCCAGCGCGGAAGCGGGAGCACGGTTAGGCACGAGCGCTAGCCCGAAACTGAGCCCAGCGCTTCAACGAGAACAACATCTCTCTCTCTATACATATATATATATAAACAAACAACGTTTCTGGGAAATACGGTTTATTAACAACAACCAATACGCAAGGGGGCGGGCCATTTCCCGGACGCCACCAGAGGAGAGAGGAGAGTAGTATTCATATTGTTTAACTGTGGAAGAGGAGGAGGGCGACGAGGAGGAGGGACCAGTGTAAAGCCAAGAATCATCACGATGTTGGAATAAACCCTCTCTCCGAGCACCCGCTTCATACGTCCCTGCAACGGTTCATTTCCCTTGAGAAAACTGCCCCGTTGGAGGACAACCGTCTGAAGACCCTGAAGAATGCCAGAACAGAGTTCCCAGGATTTCAACGCCACGGGTCAACCTGACTGTTGCGTCGCGGCGATTCCGAATCGCGCCAGAACGCCATTATTGGGACTTCAACACCGCGAAACTCCAGAATTCTGGCACCCGCAAAATCCTGAATCCTTCCAGAACGCCGTGTCTGGTACGCTGATCATGGGAATCCGTGGGAACATTGCAAATGTTATAAATGAATTTGCACGGCACTATAGCGAGAACCACATGTTGAAAAAGGAACCGCCCTGAATCCGCGAAATTCTTCCCTTTTCAAAGAACGAATGTGCGCGACGCTAAGGCGAAGCCACATTTTGGAAACGGGTTGTCTTCAATCCGTGAAGCTCTTGCAACTGTTTACAACGAATGCGCGCGGCGCAAAAGCGAGAACAACATGTCGAAAACGGGTTGTCGCCAATCCGTGACACTTTTGCATTCTTTTTTACGGCGACTGCGCGCAACACAAATGCGAGAGCCACATTATGAAAACGGGTTGTCCTCAATCGATGAAGCATTTGCAACTGTTTAAAACGGGAGTGCGCGGCGCTATGGCGAGAGCCACATTTTGGAAGTCTCAGGCGGAACGCCTGGCCCGCCCTAAAAATTGGTCTCGGGGTGCGACATGGAAAAATTTATTAGAAGGAATGGAGGAGGAGGAGGAGGAGGAGGAGGAGGAGGAGGAGGAGGAGGAGGAGGAGGAGGAGGGGAGGGGAGGAGGGGGGGGGGAGGAAGGAGGAGGAGGGAGGAGGATGGGGGGGGAGGATGAGGAGGGGGAAAGGGAGAAGGAAGAGGAGGCGGAGGAGGTCGATGCTTCCCCCGCTCGAGCCTACCGCTCCCCCCTCTCTAAGTTTCCCTCTCCTGTTCCCTTCTCTCCTTCTCCTCCTCCTCCTCCTCCTCCTCCTCCCTAGGTGCTTCTCCATACTCCTCCTCCTCCTTCTCCTCCTCCTTCTCCTCCTCCTCCTCTTCCGATATGGTCCTCCTCCTCTTGGGGTCTCTCCGTCCGCCGTGGCAAGCGTCGGAGGTCTACAGGCCCCCGAACCGTCGACCACGAGCCCCGATGTGTCTCTGCCCACTCTGGCTGTGAAGAGAGGCTCCCGCAGCACACTCTCTGCCGAGGTAGCTCTCAGGAGCCGCTGCAGCACCACGACAGATCAGTGTCCCGAGAGGAGCTCCAATTGCAGGAGGGGGCAGGAGGAGGAGGAGAAGGAGGAGGGGGAGGGGGAGGACGGGGGAGGAGGAGGAGGAGGAGGAGGAGGAGGAGGGAGGAGGAGGAGGAGGAGGGAGGAGGAGGAGGAGGAGGGGAGGAGGAGGGGAGGAGGAGGAGGAGGGAGGAGGAGGAGGAGGAGGAGGAGGAGGAGGAGGAGGAGGAGGAGGAGGAGGAAGGAGGAGGAGGAGGAGGAGGGGGGAGGAAGATGAGGGGGAGGGGGAGGAGGGGGAGGAGGGAGGAGGAGGAGGTGAGTGCATCCCTTCCTCGTGCCTGCGCCCCCCCCCCCCCCGAGACGTGGACCCCGAGCCCCGACTCCTGCTGTTGCTGCTGCTCCTCCGCGAGGCCGACGGTGCCCGCCGCGGCAGACCTCGGGGCCGAAGAGACGCTCCGGCCCTCAGTCGCAAGCGCCACCCTGTGCCACGCCTGGGGATCCTCGATCCTCCTCCTCCCTCTCCTCCTCCTCCTCCTCCTCCTCCTCCTCCTCCCCTCCTTCTCGCTCCTCCTCCTTCTCGCTCCTCCTCTCCTCCTCCTCTCCTCCTCCTCCTCCTCCTCCTCCTCCGCCCTCCTCCTCCTCCTCCTCCCCTCCTCGCTCCTCGCTCCTCGCTCCTCGCTCCTCGCTCCTCCTCCTCATCCTTCTCCTCCTCCCTCCTCCTTCTCCTTCTCCTCCTCCTCCTCCTCCTCCTCCTCCTCATTCGCCTCCTCCTTCGCCTCCTCCTCGATTACCGATCCTTCTCTCTCCACACTGGGCCACGAATGGCTATTCACTCTCGCTCCCACCCTTTAGTTCGGAGCGTAAGACTCGGGTTCGGGCGACTCGGGTGGCCTGACGGGGCCGTCAGGAAAATGACGAGGAACTCCAAAATGGGACCCAAATTCCCGCTGCACAACATCCACGAAAGCTGGACCCGACAAATCCAGGACGGGCTCGTTGAAAAGCGTCGGCAGACACGAATTCGTCAACCTTGAGTCTGCTACTTCTCACGAGCGGCGAACTAATCCTTCTCCACGCCCTCGCGATCTGGATTCTGGGGCGCGAGCCCTCGGATGCGCGGTCGCATGGATACGTTGCGCGACGGGTTCCCACGCGAAACAGCTACCCGTCTCCACGAGATCGCGGCCCAGAGGTCCGGCCCCAGCGGTCGTGGATGACGGGCAGGTCATCCGCCCACGATGGTGGGCTTGGGCCTCGCCAAGCGGCAATCGAACTCCCCACCGGCCACCCCTCTCCTCCCACGACGCACCGTTCTCGCGAAGCGGGCCCCGACGGGAATGTGCCTCTTCACGGGGACTGGCTTGTCATGCTGCGTCGTTTTGCGGCGGTGCCGGGGCCCTCCCTCAACGACCGTCACAACTTTTGTTTCATCGCCCAGCTCTGAGGGACATGGCTTCTCCCAGCTCAAGATGCACGAACTTTCGCGCTCCCGAGCAGCCGCCCTAGAGACAGGCAACCTCCTCCTCCTCCTCCTCCTCCTCCTCCTCCAACCTGTACGGCTACTGCTCCCCTCCTCCAACTTCCCCCCATGCAGCCCGGATCGCGCTCCTCCATCTCACGGAGCGCGATCTGCCGCGCTCCGGACTTCGAAGCAAATCCGGCCGCGCGACGAGGGCCCCCCAGAGAGCGCCCAGAAGACGAGCAGCACCAAACCATCGCATCACCCCTCCTCCTCCTCCTCCTCCTCCTCCTCCTCCTCCTCCTCCTCCTCCTCTGGAGGCCTCCGAAGTCTCACGCACGGTCCTCCAGGGGCCCCCAGAGGCCTCGGGACCAGAGTCGTCCCAAGCCTCCTGCGGATGATGGGGAGCGTTAGGGGGGGGGAACAACTCAGAAGGGGAAACATCGACCTGGCCATCGCTCGGACGTACATTCACTGTGTTCTTTTCGGTTTCGTGCGTGGTTTTTTCGCCAAAAGGTCAAGGGTGCTCCTCGATGGTCCTCGCCGAGAAAAAATGCACACGTCCGAGCGATGATAGGCGACCTGCAATCGGCGACGCCTCGCCGACAGATCGGCGATGGGTCCCCGATACCAAACCCGCACGGTCCTGGGCCGGGTCGGCCTATCTGACTACCGACCAGACCACCCCAACCCAACCCGAAGACCCGAATTTCGGGTTGGGGGGAGGGCGGGTTCCATATGTGTTTTCTCGATGTTCCCCGACCCCCCCCCCAACTGGAAATGGAGGGCAAATCGAGACCTTCGGGTTGGGTTGGGGTGGTTTGGTGGGTGGTGACTATCAGGCCCCTATCGGCGATAAATGGGCGATAGGAAGCCGATGCCAACCCCTGAACCTGCTCTCCCCTCACATTGACCCTCGGCTCTGGGGACATAACTCGGCTCTTCGGCAACCGTTCGGGACGATCCGGGCACTCCCAGGACGCTCCTGGCGAGGCGCGGCTCCCGGAAGGCAGCCCAAGGATGGAAAGCCAACGAGAACCGACGAAAATTATCAAACACCTGCAGCCTGAGGGAAACAAGCAGTGACATAAGCATAACATTTCGGAGGTCTGCACGACCTGTTTGGATCCGCGCTGGACACCCCTCCCAGGCGCGCGGAGCGCGCCAGGGGCGGCGCAGGAGGCGCCGTTTAAAGGGGCCTAAGCGCCGACCCAAGAAATCCGCGCGCAGCGCCGAGAGTTTATGTTAGCGTAGATGTGTCTTCTCGGTATCTCAGAGCGTGAATGACCTACCTCGCTTTCGCTTCCAGGCAAAACCAAGCCATACCACGCGCCTCCTCGTCAAGCGGCCTGACCAGTGCAGGCTGCGATTTGGCGTCGTTTGGTATCTCTTGGAAGCGAGGGTGGTCAAAAGCGAGGTAGGTTTGTTTTCCCCCTAGTATCCCCCCCCCGTTTGGAGGGACAGAAGCCCGGGCCCATGACCAAGATTGACAACGGCAACGTCGCGTCGATCTTGGTTACCGTCGACCGTGGTCGGCGTCAATTCGTGGATCCTCCTCGCGCATCGGCGACGGCCGACATGGACCACGACCAAGATCGGCATCTACAAGAGACCGCGACATCTTGGTCATGGTCTCAGTGGGCCCTGGAAACGACAGGGCCGTTTCTCTACCGTTTCCGTTTTGCCATTTTTGTTGCCGGTTCTGGAGCAATCTTTGTTGTGTCGGGAGCGGCCAAGAGGGGGGTGTCCAAGAGGGGGGGTGCAAATCATGACCGGCGGCACGTGCGCGGCCCAGCGGGGGGCCAGGGACGTAATGAAATAAGAAGAGGCGCCATGAAACCTGGGGAAATATCATGGCCCCCGCCATGATATCCCCCCCCCCTAATCATCCCCCCCCCTTTTACCGCCCCCGATGTTGTTCCCGGTTCCTGCTCAAAGTCCATCCCCAGAGCTATCTTGTTGCAGTGTCCGGCCGCAATCTTTTTTTGCCGCTCCCCTCTCCACGGGGCATCTTGTTCGGCAGCGGTGAAAAAGCGGCCCTGTCGCTTCCGAGGGCCCACCGAAGTCACGGCCCCCGTGCATTCTTTTCCCCTCGACCGTCCACATGGCAGGGGCCCTGGGACACACCAATAGATAGACACAAATTACAGGATTCCCCACATTGTCCAACATTTGCTAGGTATTTTGTCTTCCCCCCCACTTCCCACATCTTCCCATATATCTTCGGGGGAATCGACGATCCATTGCGTCTGTGTGCTTTTTGTTACCTCCTGAGACGTGGTCCCCGACAGCCCTCTTCGTCTGCGGTGGAACTCTCCCCTTAGTGGGCCCAGGAAACGACAGGGCCGTTGTTTTACCGGTTCCGTCTTGCCGTTTGTGTTGCCGGTTCCGACGCCGTTTTTTTTACCGGTTCCGTCGCCGTTTTTGACCAGCTCCGGCTCCGGTTCCAGTCCTGTAGCCGTTTCTGTGCCGCTTCGGGTCGCTGTTTTTTTTGCAGCTTCCATTTGCAAGAGACATTTTTTGGGAAACGGTGAAAAAAACGGCCCTGCCGTTTCCGGGGCCCACAAAGGCAAGGCTCTCCCCCGCCCCAGTGCGGACCGCCCCGCCGCGCCAGCGCGGCCGCGCCGCGCCCCGGCGGCAAGCCTGGAGGGCGCGCGCTGGGCGCTGGTCGCAAGGGGGGGAGGAGGAGAAGGAGGAGGAGGAGGAGGAGGAGGAGGAGGAGGAGGAGGAGGAGGAGGAGGAGGAAGAGGAGGAGGAGGAGGAGGAGGAGGAGGAGGAGGAGGAGGAGGAGGAGGAGGAGAGGAGGAGGAGGAGGGGGAGGAGGGGAGGAGGAGGAGGAGGAGGAGGAGGAGGAGGAGGAGGAGGAGGAGGGAGGAGGAGGAGAGGAGGAGGAGGAGGAGGAGGAGGAGGAGGAGGAGGGAGGAGGAGGAGGAGGAGGAGGAGGAGGAGGAGGAGGAGGAGGAGGAGGAGGAGGAGGAGGAGGAGGAGAGGAGGAGGAGGAGGAGGAGGAGGAAGGGGAGGAGGAGGAGGAGGAGGAGGAGGAGGAGGAGGGAGGAGGAGGAGGAGGAGGAGGAGGAGAAGGAGGAAGATGAGGAGGAGAAGGAGGAGGAGGAGGAGGGAGGCTGGGGGACCTCCGAGCCGAGAGGGCCCGCCCCTTCTCTCGCCTCACCCACGGGCCCGCCGCTGGCCCCTCGATGGACCACTTGCCCGGCCATCCAGGCCCAACCCGAAGGCCAGAATTTCGGACCAGAAGAAGGAGGGGAAGTGTGAGGAGGAGAAGGAGGAGGAGGAGGAGCAGGAGGAGAAGTAGGAGGAGGAGGAGGAGGAGGAGGAGAAGGAGGAGGAGCAGGAGGAGGAGGAGGAAGAGGAGGAGGAAGAGGAGGAAAGAGGCGCGAGGGACGCAGGAGGGACGTGGGAGGAAGCAGGAGGGAGGCGGGACGGGTTCTACATGTGTGTTTGCTCCATGCTCCCGCACGCCCCACCACTGGGAATTGACGGCAAATTGGGGTCTTCGGGTTGGGTCGGGCTGGGGTGGCTTGGTGTGTGGTCGTAGGTGGGGTCCGAGTAGATGGGGTCGAAGGATCGCGCCGCATCGCCGATGCATCGGAGATGCATCGTCACGGCGATGGAACGGCGACGTCGGTCGGCGTGAAGAAGATCGGGCTACACATCGAACTGCATCCCTAATGCATCGGCGATACGGCGCGCTCCTCCGACCCCATCTGGGAGGCCTAGAAAGAGTGCAAGGTTAGGAAACACCTGCTGGGAGGTTGTCATGAGAACGATTCAGGGCTACCGATTCGACCATCCTTCAGGTTACAAGAAGGTTTGGGGGTGGGGGGGGGCATAACCAACTGCTGGCAAATGCGATGGGTATGATAACAATGCTGGTGACGCGCCCTCGAGTTAGCGACGACGCGTGACGACGGTGTTGCGCTGCGATGTAATGCCACCATCGTCCCCGCTTTCTATGTCACAACCAATGTCACACTCACCCTCACTGTCAAGATCTTGGCATCCATCCCATTCACTGCCAGCAATCTCATTTAAGGATCTCACTATCGACTTCGATATCGATACCAACATGGGCCAGCCCCGGCCACCGCCCGCCCCTCGCCGACGGAACACCAACGGGACACCACAATACGAAAACGACGACACCGATTTCCTGGTGGGGAGCTCACCGTTCCACTGCGATCTCACCCCCCAACCTTCGATTCGGCCTGGTGAGGGCGCCATTCAACTGGATCTGCTCGATTGAGCTGGAGCAGGCGGAACTGCGTGGAATTCAGCTGGACAGTGCCAGGCGAAACCTGCCTCGGGCCACGGATACGCTAGCGCCGATGCTGAATTCCACCTCCCAAAATTTGCATCCTAAGGCTAGGCCATCGGGGGCGTCCAAAAAGGGGGGCGTCCAAGAGGAGAGATCGAAAATCAGGTCCCCCGCCATAACATCCACCCCCCCTAATCATCCCCACCTCTTTGCCGCCCCCGAAACCAAAACCGTGACAACACCCGGACCGGGCCGGGACACATCGGGGATCTCGGGGATCTGGGAATTCTGGAATTAAGAGGCAACTACTGCGAGGTTTCCGTCGGAAAGACTAAGGAGGATTAAGCCCCATCTGGGAGCTGTTACGCTGGAACATGCCAACACATTGTTTTCGGGATTCCAACGCCACGGATCAACCTGACTGCTGCGTCTTGACAGTCCTGAATCAACACAGCGCATCAACATAACTGGTGCACCAACATGACCCTGAATCCTATCGACACACAATTTCTGGCACGTTGGTGCTGTGAATCCGTGGACCCCATGAAATGTGTTCAATCAAATGTGCGCCGCATGGAAATGACAACCACATGTCGAAACGGAACCGCCGTAAATCCGTGAAACTCTTGCAATCTTTGAAAAACGAATGTGCGTCGCGCTAATGCGAAAACCACATGTTGAAAAGAAACCTCTCAACCCGTCGGAGTCTTGCACATGTTTAGAATGAATGAGCGCTGCGCTAAGGCGAGAACCATATTCTGAAACGACCCGCTCTCAATCAGAGAAACTCTTGCAACTGTTGAAAACGAATGCGCGCCGCACTAAGGCGAGAACCACGTTTTGAAAACGGCCAATCCTCCGTCTTTGAAACTGTTGCAAATTCTTGAGCTTCAGAATCATAAATGGTGAGGAAGTCTCAGGCGAAACGCTCGGACTGTTTTAAAAGCAGCTGACTTCGGGGTGCGACACGGAAAAAAACGACTCATGAGGAAAAAGGAATGGAAGAGTAGGAGACGGAGAGAGGGTTGAGGTGGAGGAGGAGGAGGAGGAGGAGGCAGAGGAGGGACGAGGAGGCGGAGGAGGAGGAGGAGGAGCAGCAGGAGAGAGGAGACGAGGATGGACACACATAGGAGACCACATGCGAACCCTACCCCTACCCCCCCACGATTTCTGAGGGGGAGGGTGAGGTTCACTCTGCTCGGGAGCTCCCGAAAAAAGTGACCCCCCCCCCCCCTAAAAGCTGGCTTCGGGGTGCGACAAGAAAAATCATACTCATGAGGAAACTGAATGGAGGAGGAGTAGAGGAGGAGGAGAGAGGGTTGAAGTGGAGGTGGAGGTGGAGGTGGAGGAGGAGGCAGAGGAACACCGAGGAGGCGGAGGAGAAGGAGGAGGCAACAGGAGAGAGGAGGCGAGAAGGGACACACACGCAGACGGCTTTGGCGGCGCCGCCCCGTGGCCCCGACGCGGCCACCATGCAGGCGCCGCAGACCGCGGCGGCGGCAGCCCCGCGCCAGGCCGCGCCGCGCCGGACGGCGGCGCGCTCGCCGTCCGCGGAGAGGAGGGACGCCGCCTCCTCCCAGGGGGCCCTCCGAGAAGTCGTGCCGACGGCGGCGGCGGCGACGACGAGAAGGCAGATCGGGGAGATGCGAGGATTCGGGCACGGGGGACTCGGGTTGGCCTGGCGGGGCCAACATCAAAATGACGAGACCCCATCTGACATTGGACGCGATCTCCCGCTACAGACACCCCACGAACACCAGACCGCCCAAATCCAGGACGCGTTCGTCAACACAACGCGTCCGCAAGCCCGAGCTCTGGCGTACTCGAGTCTTCGGTTTCCCCGAGAGGAGGACGGCGACGACGAAGTGCACCAGGATGATCGGGCCCGCGGGACGCAAGTCACTCAACTTCGCGCACCGCGCCCCGCGATGCGCGGCGCGCGGCCAAGGAGGAGGAGGAGGAGGAGGAGGAGGAGGAGGAGGAGGAGGAGGAGGAGGAGGGAGGAGGGAGGGGGGAGGAGGAGGAGGGAGGGGGGAGGAGAGGAGGAGAAGGAGGAGGGGGAGGGGGGAGGAGGAGGAGGAGGAGGAGGAGGAGGAGGAGGAGGAGGAGGAGGAGGAGGAGGAGGAGGAACCCCCGAGACGAGGGCAGCAAGGCAGCCCCGCTGGGGCCCAGGCCGCGGGCTCAGCGCGAGACGCGTCGGGCACCGGCTCGAGGGTACAGTGACGCTTCGAGTGGGGGGGGGCCTGCTCGGGGGGGTGGGAGAACATCTTGCCATCGCTCGGACGTCCATTCCCTGTGTTTTTTTTGTTGGTTTCGCGCGTGGTTTTTCGCCAAATGATCAAGGATGCTCCTCGATGGTCCTCACCGAGGAAAAACGCACACGTCCGAGCGAGGTCAAGAGATTTCTCACCTGCGGAAGAAGACCAGTGGCAAGGGGTCAGGGGGAACGACAGGCGAGGAGACGACACGACGGAGGGCGCGGGGGGGGAGGGGGGGCGGGAGAGGGGGGAGGGAGGGAGGAGGGGGGCGCACGCCCGCGCGCGCCCCCTCAGCGCCAGCCAGGGCCCGCGCAGCCCCCGCAGAGGGGGGAAGTACGTCAAGTTGCATGGAGGCCGCCTTCTACGCAGAGGAGGAGGAGGAGGAGGAGGAGGAGGAGGAGGAGGAGGAGGAGGAGGAGGAGGAGGAGGAGGAGGAGGAGGAGGAGGAGGAGGAGGAGGAGGAGGAGGAGGAGGAGGAGGAGGAGGAGGAGGAGGAGGAGGAGGAGGAGGAGGAGGAGGAGGAGGAGGAGGAGAGGAGGAGGAGGAGGAGGAGGAGGAGGAGGAGGAGGAGGAGGAGGAGGAGGAGGAGGGAGGTTACATCTGAGGACAGCATTCAGGGGGGGACGCTTGAGCGAAAGAGTGCACATCAGGTTAAACAGGGGGATTCTTGGTTGCGTGGATGCGGTTGGCATGACAATGGCTGCACAGGCGCCCTGGCTATCCCATAAGCATGCTTGAATGCGTGTTCGGCAACTTCGCCAGTGGAACTTGAAAACACGTTAGTATAATATTGTCTGAGCGTGCACTTCGCGAAGATGCGCTTTAACTGATTGGTGGTCCACCGAATGCACTGCTATCGCGATGCTGCCCACGCACCGAAGGTCCCTCACCATCATCGTCTTAGACACCATCATGCCGAGCTGTTGCATGGTAAACACGCGCAACGTGGAAGTTCTTGGACCTAACAATCGATAGTTGGCATCGTGAACTACCCTAACGCAGTCTCAGTGCAAGCACGGTCTTTCTGTTGCTTGATAGATGCTTGGCTGGGGTTGCTCGAATTTGAGGCCTACGTTCAGAACATCCCACCACGGCATGATCTCGCCATCCAAACTGTTACTTGTTTTTCGGGCCGAACTTTGCGCTGATGTTGTCAAGACAGGGTGCTGCACACTATTAACACCAACGTTATGTCAGTATTGATGTGTTGCGGCTTCAGCTCGATCCTACAATGCGGACTGCCGCATGCAACCATAAACAATTCATCTATACGCTAGCGCGCGGCAAGGCATCGCACTGTGGTAGAACCGCTGCCACTCGCCAAACCAGAGTTGCGACCTGCGGTGTGCTTCATCGCTGGAACGAACACATGCAAGCACTGACAACGCACAACTATTGGACAATGAAACAAACAAATAAACGAGATCGTCACGACGACCTCCTTCTGTTTATCATGTTGTGATAATTCCAGTTTCTTCCGTGGTGCACCAAACTACGGCAGAGAAGGCCGGCGGTGTTGAAGCGGCGCTCATACCTCTCTGTAGTCCTACTGCGAACAGTCTTCGGAAAACAGGTTGTGCCACCACGCCTCGGCAAGGAAGACCATCGCTACAGAGACCGTCTCGCAGATCACGAACAGCAGAAATTGAGAACACGCAACGTAAACAAAGACATGTGCGGCAAACTATGAAACAAAAATCGTAACTTTCTGGATGCTGATGTTGACTGCGTTTGCATGCCCGTTGTTTAGTTGGACCTGCCACCAAAGCCACTTATCACGAATCATACTTGTTCTCCGTCAGTCGTGTCCGCAGGTGTACTGTAACTTTCGCAGAAAGAGTTTGTGTGACATCCCAGGCGCTGTGAATAGTTCTGCTGACGGTGCAAGTTGGCCTCTCATACGCTATTGTGTTTCGCCTGCAAGACGAGGTATATATATATACAAACAAACATGCCAATTCAAACAAGAAAGACTCGATTCGTCGAACTGTTGTGGGATAAGGTTGTACCGTCGTACTATGCCGGGATGCGCGTACGGACATCATTAGAACGATCTGCCCGTCACCTTGGCATTGATTATCGGACGCGTTTGTTACACGTTGCGTGTAATATGTAGAGACTGGTGCAGGCCAAGTCTAACGAGGTGGAAAGCTTTACTTCGAACGTGGAGTGCGGTCGCACCGCAGTGGGCTAAGCATCATACAACATACACACGTATCGTGGTAGACAGCAAGTCGACTTGGGCACAGGCACCGTGTACAGTCTAGCATGTGTTAAGTCGCATGTCTGTGCTTGCATCGGAGCAACATGTTCGAGTGTTACACCATGCTGCAGAACTCGGCCTAGATATGCTCAAGCTGCTGTTTCCTACCAAGTGTGCTATGTCACGGACGTTCGAGGACTAGTGGAGAGAACCATGGTTGCATGCAAACATTGGTATGCGAATTGTGGCAGTACTTCGACTCTGGTTCCGCCTCTGCCTCAATTCCCTTATCTTGGTGACCGCGCAACTGCTGAATTCCTCGATTGGCAAGCCGCCGAACGAGTATTCTACAAAGTCCAGCGGTCTTCTGCTGCAATGGTGTGCGAGCTGCTCGGCGCACCTGAAGACAAGAACCCTTGCATAACGTGGGTGATGCTGTCCAGCCAGGCTTGGTACAGATGAAGATTCATGGTGACACACGACTGCAAAAAGCGGCAATTTGATCAACATGTAGGCGTCGATGCAGTCCTGAAAATCTCCCGGTCTTTGCACGACAACTCATTGCTCGCTGTCGTGGTGGGTGGTGAGACGAAGATCGGGCGGAAGAAAGCCCCCCAAATGTGTGATGTCCTGTGAAGCGAACAGGCGACGCTAGCGCACATGCGTGGCACCAATTCCCACATTGGCCTTTTGCAAACTTTTTCGGGACAAAATATTGGCCAATAGGACCGGCGCACACGTACGCGGAACCGTTCCACAAAATCATCGTGACTATTGTTAATTTCAACTCTCTTTCCAGTGGACACGTTTTCCGGAGAGCGTGCCTATTCATAGCCCGTACATTCTGAAGAGCATGGGAAGGCCCTGGTGGTCAACACTGCTTGAACTGACGCTAACACTAGCAGGCCACAAATCCACAACGGAAATGCGGAACGACTGACCGCCATGGGAAAGACTATTCGCCCTTCGCCGTTATGTTGGCGATGTATGTATGTTCTCTAGACATTATGCACCACATGCATTCGAACATATTGAAATCTTACCTTGTGGCACCAACATTAAACTCGATACGTTTACGGACAGTGGGGAAATAACCAGTTACCATGTGACCAACAAATTATTGGATTGTAAGTTGCAGGTGGGGCCAGCGGGCGCAAGTATTCCAGCGTGAACCCCGAACTTCGGCACTATCAACAAACAAGTGGCCACTGGCGTACCAGGCCTGGTCAAGATCCACTTCCCCCCCAATCGGTCGGCCAGCGAAATCTGATTTGGAGGTTTGGGGGGCAACCTGTCTTGCAGGTGCACAAGATAGGTTCAAGTGGGTTTGTTGAACATACAACAATCGTGATCTGCGCTTAGAGATGTTAGCCACCGTGGACACTTCTAGCAATCTACCTTGTGCCAACTATATTGACCTATCTATGTTGCGCAACCGTTGTAGTGCAATCTGGGAGGTGCAATCAATAATGTGCAACAACCGTTGTCACTCAGATGTTCTCATCACTCAGACACACTCATCACCCAGCCTCACTCATACTCTGACTCGCTCTTCCTCACTCAGACTCCGTCACACCACTTCCTCACTCTGACTCGCACTCGCACTCAGACTCCCTCAGGCTCCGACTCGCTCGTTCTTTACCATATCCACCACTCAGACGTAGACTTGCTCACCGCTCACAGCATTCCATCATTCAGTACAAGAAATCACTCAGACTCATTCATGCTCTGACTCGCTCTTTCTCACGCAGATTACACACGCATCGTGACATGTTCGCACTAAGACTCACACTGAGTCACACTCTGGTTCGCTTCTCCTCACTCAGTCAGAATCATACAAGGTGTTGATCCCAGCGCTGCTAAGAGGGGGGGGGGCGCCAGGGGGTATTTCACGGGCCCGTTCGCGCCCAGATTGGGGGGTTGTCTCAAGCGGTTTGTCTGCTTGCGCCCCCAGCATATCTTGCCTTCGGAGCAGTTTCTAAGGATGTATCAGGCGAGGCGCTGGTTTCAGCATTCCCGAGGGAGGGCGCCAGGGGGTATCTCACGGGCCTGTTCGAGCCCTGATTGGCCCACCATCTCTTGCTGTGGGAGCAGCCTCTGAGGATGTCTCAGGCGAGGCGCTGGTTTCAGCACTCCCAAGGGGGCCACCAGGGGTATCTCACAGCCTCTGTTCGCGCTACAATGGCGGGGATGTCTCAAGCGGTTTGTCTGCTTGCGCCCCCAACATCTCTTGTTTCCGGAGCAGTTTCTAGGGATGTATCAGGCGAGGCGCTGATTTCAGCATTCCCGAGGGAGGGCGCCAGGGGGTATCTCACGGGCCTGTTCGAGCCCAGATTGGCCCAACAACTCTTGCTGTGGGAGCAAGTCTCTGAGGATGCCTCAGGCGAGGCGCTGGTTTCAGCACTCCCAAAGGGGGCCACCAGGGGTATCTCACGGCCTCTGTTCGCGCCATAATGGCGGGGATGTCTCGAGCAGTTTGCCTGTTAGCATGCCCCAAATCCTCCGCTTTCGGAATAAATTTGGAGGATGTCGAGCGAGGCGCTCATTTTCGCCCCCACGGGGGGCCAGATGTTGAGGATGTCTCGATCGGTCTCCTTTTTTGGTGGCCAGACTCGTGTGCACAGATTCTCCCCAGGATGCTGCAGGAGGCTCCAGCAGGCTCCAGGAGGCCCCAGGAGGCCAAATCCAGGTCCCAGGAGGCATCAGGAGGCCACAGGAAGACTCAAGAGGCCACAGTATGTCCCAAGAGGCTCCAGGATGCCCCAGGAAGCTCCAGGAGGCTTCAGGAAGCTTTAGGATGCTCCAGGAGGCCCAAGGAGGCCACAGGAGGCCCCGGGAGGCCACAGGAAACGCCAGGAGGCACCAGGAGGCCCCGGAAGGCAATAGGAGGCGCCGAGAGGCCCCAGGAGCAGGAGGCCTCAGAGGGGCACAGGAGCGGCTCCACTCCCATGTGTTTTATGTATGCTCATATAGATTGGGCCTCACCTGGAGCACGAATCCTTGATGTTATACGTATGGTTCTATATATTGTCATTCTCGGGTGTATCCAATCCTAGATGTTTTACGTATGTTCGTAGAGATTTGGCCTCCACTGGGGCACGTGTCATTGGCGTTTCACGTATGCTCCTATGGATTGCCCTTCTCCTGTGGCTCCAATCCGCAATATTTAATGTACGTCTATTCCTTTAGATTGGGCCTATCCTGGGGCACGAACCCTCCCTAGGAGGTCCAAGGAGGCTCCAGGAGGCCTCAGGAAGCCACGCGAGGGCCCAGGGGGCCTGAGGGGGCCACAGGAAACCCCAAGATGCCCCAGGAGGCCCCAAGAAGCTCCAGGAGGCTCCAGGAAGCCCCAGGAGGTTCCAGGAGGCCACAGGCTCATGCGCAGAAACGCGCTCGTACTACTGAGACTCATTCACACTCCAATTCATTCGCAGTTAGATTCAGCCCCAGACCGTCAATACTCACGCACCTTTGTATTCGAAAATCTTGCGCCTAGACACTCACCGCGGACAGGTCCATGCGAATAGATGCACATATGGGCAGCTCCACGCACTGGATCTCTCTCTTTCCCTCTCTCCCTCTCTCTCTCTCCCTTCGCCTCCCTTTTCTTCTCACTCTACTCTCCCTCGTGAATAACTCCTCGCCGCACCACCGACCGCTTCGCGGGAGACTCGTGCCAATACACCTCGTGCCCCTCCTCGCCATCGCTTGGACGTTCATTCCCTGTGTTTTTTCGGTTTCGTGCGTGGCTTGTTCGCCAAATGATCGAGGATGCTCCTCGATGGTCCTCGCCGAAAGAAATAGGGGGCCACATGTGAACCCTATCCCTACCCCACACGATTTTTGAGGGGAGGGTGGGGTTCACTTCGTTCGGGAGCTCCCGAGCGAAGTGAACCCCACCCTCCCCCTCAGAAATCGTGGGGGGTAGGGGCAGGGTTCGCATGTGGCCCCCTAAAGAAAATGCACACGTCCGAGCGATGCCAAGCCTCGAGCGTGAAATCTACACCAACTACACGGGTGCAGGACGGCGGCCGCTCTGCGCGAGAACGAACTCTCGCTGGATACCGCATCCGTACCCACGGGTCGAAAGAAGTAGGTAGAAACATGAACGTTGAACATAGATTCGGTTTCCGCCCGCCTCCCGAAGAGGAAGGAAGAGGAAACACCACTCGACTCTTGAAGTAGGAAGGCGCTGAAAGTAGATTGGACTCTGGGAATCCCAAAATACCTACTTTTCACGACCGATGGGTACCCTAGGTTGACTGCCTAAAGCTTGGGCGCCAGTTTTACACGTCGGGCTCCTGCTCGGCGAGAGACATCAGCAGACCATGTAGTCGTGAAGATTCAAAGTCCCACGAGCTGCACGATTATGTATAGGCTGGGTCGTCTTCGTCATCGCGCCGTCACTTGGTTTGCCCATACAGCGTGCTGCGAATAGTATTGGGACGCCGACGGATGCAACTGTGGAAGGCGGGCCGTGCTCAGCATCGCAACGTCGCGATCGAGACCCTCGAACCAATCAGCATACACATCGATGTGTCCGAGAACGTGCCATCAGATGCACGGATGGAGAAGGGTCCCGATTCACTACCGTGTGCGGACCGGGCACTCCCGCGCAGTGAAGGACCAGTGGGTAAACCCCCCAGGCTTGCAGTGATGGGGGCGGCAAAGGTGCTGTGTGCCATCCCGCGCAGCCATGCTTGAACTGACTGTTCCGAAACCCGCAGCTTCCCACAGTCTCTACGCACGGACGGTGAGGGGCACACACCCTGCGAAATGCTTAAGAAATCATGGCTTAAGAAATTCACAGTCTCAGAATTTGAATAACAACCCAGAATGTCTATCAAAAGCTTAGGATTTATAATACAACATTAAGAATAATCGAGACTCTGGCTGAAAACGTAAGTTTTCTTAAGCATCGCCTAGGGTGCACACCTTCTCGCTCCAGCGCGGCGCACGTGTTTCAAACTTCTACCACCTGCGCGGGTTGGGACGCGCCCCTGCCAAACCGATTACGAGGCGGAGCCCGCTGCCGTCGAGGCCGAGTGCACGGTTCCTGTGGGTGGATATCTGGTCATCGCTCGCACGTCCATGATTCATGCACTGTTCGATGTCGTGCCCGTATGTTCTGTACGATCCAAGATGCTCGCCGATGGCCCTCGCCGAGAAGAAATGAGCACGTCCGAGCGATGCCAAACTGTCGATCCAGAAAGTCTTCCCGAGTCCCGAACTGGTGACTCCCCGTCCATCAGCATTCCAGCCCTCCCAGGTCCTGGGCCACTTGCACACACCCCTACCAATGCAGCGATTGATCGACGGAGTGAGGACTTGCCATGCAATCGGACCTAGGCCATAATAACATCCCTCAAGAACATGAGACCCTCCCTCTGACAAAGCATAGGCGAGAAGAACATCCCTCAAGAGCATGTTACCCTCCGTCGGCCAAAACAAACAGAACATCCAAGGGTACCCTCCCCAGGATGCAGAATCACGTCCAACAAATGCGAAACACATCAGGGCACCTCCCCGAACCGACCCCGATGTTATACCTCGGTCCGACTGTATGGGAACTCGACTGCCCCGTCTTTGGGCGAGCGAGCGGTTACGTACACGCTATGGCCGCTGTGGGATCTGGGTAAGGGGAGAAGCGCACCTTGCAGCCCGAAGGAAGACAGTTAACACATGTGATGGCGTTCTCGAGCCTGCGGAAGAGCGCGCAACTCATCATAACCCCCTGGAGCCTCGGGACAAGAGCTGAAGAGAGCTATCGCATGTGACACCCTTCTTGCCAAATCTCGAAAACACGACTCACAAGCTGCGCTGGCACCGTCGGGGAACATGCCGCAGGCACCTGGACACAAGACATGGACGTCGTCACAAAGATTCCGAGCAACGACCAAAGAAGGGTGGGCAAACCGAAATCAAACGACCGCACAACATCGGGGATCTTCTGACCCGGGCCAATCCAGACCCGGGTCAGTCAGGCCTTGCAAAATCCTGCAACATCCTGCACCCAAACCCGGGTCAATACGAAAGATCCTGCAGGATCCTGCACCCAGACCCGGGTCAGTGCGACCCTGGCCCTGCAGGATCCTGCAAGATCCGGCGCTCTGGCTGACCCCCGTCTGCACTGACCCCCGTCTCAAGGCTCCCGCACAACAATGAGCGCGCCGACAACCGGTGGAAGGTCAGACCGGCACGCCCGACAGCGGTGCAGTCCTCGTGCAGCCGCAGGCACCTGGACACAGGGCCTGGACGCCATCACTGCGAAGGTTCCGAGCAACGACGAACGAGGGGAGGGCAAACCGAAATCCAACGACCGCACAACAATTGAAGGGGCCCTGGGACACACAAATAAATACACACAAATAACAGGACTCCCCTAAATCTTCCTATATTGTCTGGGTTTTCGGATTCCCCCCACTTCCCATATTTCCGCATATTTTCCTGGGGATCGACGATTCATTGTGTCTGTGTGGTTTTTTCCCTCCTGAGATTATGCGATCGTCGCGCAAGGATCGTCATACCAGTCGAAGGTCAAACCGGCACGCCCGACAGCGTTGCAGCCCCCGTGCACGCGAGGAGCGAAGGGGGCTTCTCTGGCCGCGGCGGGCCTGGGCCAAGAGTGGACTGCCCCAACCTTCCTCCTCCTCCTCCTCCTCCTCCTCCTCCCTCCTCCTCCTCCTCCCTGCTCCTCCTCCTCCCCTGCTCCTCCTCCTCCTCCTCCTCCTCCTCCTCCTACTCCTCCTCCTCCTCTCTCCTTCTCCTTTTCCTCCTCCTCCTCCTTTTCCTCCTCCTCCTCCTCCTCCTCCGCCTCCACCTCCTCCCCTCTTTCGGCGCCTGGGCTGCACGGAAAAAACGGTGCGATGCCCAGCAACATGCTGACCCAAATCGGCAGAAAGGCACTGTTTGGCAAGCGACCCCCAGCCTCAAGCAGACAAGCCTCCGCGGCACGACTGTCAGCGAGCCCTGACCAAAATGGGCAGGCAGTGCTGCTGGCATTCATCCTCGCTCTATCCGTGCACGCCAGGAGAGTCGAGATCTACACATGTCCACCACTCCTGACCAGGCCGACTCTTGGCCTAGGAGCGGTGCCTGCGCCACCCCCCTGGCCAAGCCAGGGAAGCATGTGCACCGATCGGATGCGGATGTGTAGACATCCCGTCTCTTCCTTACTTCCTTTCCGGAGGCATGGCCCACGTGCTGACATCCCGTCTCCCGACCCACTTCGATCGCACCGATCGGAGTGGACGACGACCCCGCCCACCGGACTCCTCGGCATCGCCCCTGCCGCGCATCGGGCCGCAGGGGCCGCGACCAGACTGCGGAGGCCCGGTTTTCAACGCACAGAGGCCCGTCAGTCGTCGCAGCCACTTCGGTGGCAAGCCACGCGAGCCTCCGATACCATCTTGTCGGCTCTTGCGAATCGACGCTCATCGCGGCTCTGTCGACGCCAATCGACGCCAGATCGACGCTAATCGACGCTGACCGACGCTAAGTCAGCGCTATCTCATCGACTCCCAGACGCCAATCGATGCTGATTGAGGCGAAACACAGAATTACGACAGTATACAAGGCTCCCATGATTTGCTACCGAACACCACCAAGCGGGGTCTCCTAGCCTCAGGTCGGGCATGTCCTCCTACAGGTGGCGGTTGGATGAAAAACCACAAAATGGCCAACACATATTCCGAACTAGTCGAGCAGACAATATCAAATCACCCACTTACTATTATGTGTCGAATATTGTTGGAGGCTCCTCCTGTAGTTGAGGGATGCAAAACCGCCCCTACCCTGGGTTACAAGTGCGAGGTCCGTAAAGCTCCTGGGAGCTCCCAAAGGCCAGAGAGCCGCCAGGACGCCGCGCGACACGCGCGATGTGCAGGGTTTACCCTGTCAGCCCACAGGAGGTTCAGCGCACAGCGCCTCGTAAACCAGGGTAGGGGTGGTTTTAAACGCCCTTGATGTAGAGGGCGTGAACGCAAACTTCCGGAGGTCCTCGCGGGTTTCATGGACTGGGGCTGACCTCCCTGGCGGCGCCTGCGGCGCCGCTCCAGGCGCGTTCCGCGCGCCAGGGAGAAGGGTCCAACGCCGATCCAGGAAGTCCCGCGCGGACCTCTGAAAATGTACCCATCGGTCGGAAGAACTAGGTAGAAGCATCATGAAAGATGAAGGGCTTGACAGTGGATTGGGCTCCGTCCGCCCCCCTGCGGAGGGCGGAACAAGATGAAGCCACCAGAGCATTGAAGTAGGACGGCGCCTAATGTAGATTGGAACCTGGGAATCCAGAAGTACCTACTTCCAACGACCGACGGGCACTCGCATAATAACTGCTCGCAAATGGCCCCGGCTTCGCGGCGGGGGACGCACGATACCTTACATAGATGCAGGGCGACATGTGTGTTTTTTTTTGGGGGGGGGGGGCGTGTGCGAGTAGGCACTTTGCCAGTGGTGGAAAGCGCTCGGTGAAACCACAGCAGGATCGGAGGAGGAGGAGGATAACGAGGAGGAGGAGGAGAAGAAAGACAAGGAGGAGGAGGAGGAGGAGGAGAAGAGGAGGAGGAGGAGGAGGAGGAGGAGGAGGAAAGGGAGGCGGAGGAGAAGGAGGAGGCGGAGGAAGAGAGAGAACGGAGGAGGAGGAGGAGGGAAGAACGGAGGAGGAGGAGGAGAAGGAGGAGGCGGAGGCGGAGGAGGAGGTGGAGGACGAGGGGGAGGAGGAGGAGGAGGAGGAGGGGGGGAGGAGGAGGAGGAGGATGAGGAGGAGGAGGCGGAGGCGGAGGAGAAGGAGGAGGAGGCGGAGGAGGAGGAGGAGGAGGAGGGGGCGAGGAGGAGGAGGAGGAGGAGGAGGAGGAGGAGGAGGAGGAGGAGGAGGAGGAGGGAGGAGGGAGGAGGGGGGGGAGGGGGGGAACCTCGGCGGCAGCTCCCTCTGCGCCACTGGGATGTGGCCTTCACGCTGCCGCCGCCATCGGAATCCTGATCGGAATCCGAAACCGAGTCGACTCGGAATCGGGACCACCGGAATCGAATCCAACCGGAAGAACCGAGGTGAGCCCTGCAGGATGGTGCTCCTCGCCTCGGGCCGTCTGCGGACCGTCCCGGAGCTTTGGAACGGTTCCGAGAGCTCGACAGCGGCGGCAAACAAACCCGGAAGAATCTAGACCCATGGCGACCAACGCCGGTGGTCGCGGCAACTTCGGGGCCTCCCGGAAGGCGGGCCTCCTGGCTGGCAGGCTCGTCCTCCCCTCTCCGGGGAAGGCGGTCAAAGGGCCGGCCTGACGCCGCGGGCGCGCCTGGCCTGGCGGCGGGGGGCCCCTGAGCCGAAACGGTCTGCCCACGCCAGCCCCCTGTGCCATGGAGGAGGAGGAGGGGGAGGAGGAGGAGGAGGAGGGGGAGGAGGAGGAGGAGGAGGAGGAGGAGGAGGAGGAGGAGGAGGAGGAGGAGGAGGAGGAGGAGGAGGGAGGAGGAGAAGGAGGAGGGCGGAGGAGGATGAGGGCGGAGGTCGGATGGGGGGAGGGGCGGGGGGGAGGGGGCTCGGGGGAACGGCAAATGGCGGCGGAGGGGAACTGGGGGAAGGGGTGAAAGGTGGCGGAACGGGGGGGGGTACGGGGAAGGGAGGGGAACATAATATTACAGTCGGTCGGCACTGGGCCAGAAGAGCGTCCCTCAAGCACACGGGGCCCCCGGTCGGCCAAAACAAACAGAACATCCAAGGGTACCCTCCCGAGGGTGCGCAAGAACATCCCACAAGCACGAAGAACAGCGAGGTACCCTCCCGAACTGACCTCGGTCTTGTGCCTCGGTCCGGCTGTAGGGGGGGACGGAGTGGAGGAAGACGAAGGGGTGCAGATCTCGAGGTGGCCGCACAGGCCGCGAAGGGGCGCACGCGCGCTCGGCACTGGTGCAGATGAAGGCGGCACTGGTACGGACCCCAAATGCGAGGGGGTGCCTGTGCAATGGACGAGCTGGCCCACGCTGGTGTCGTCTTCGAACCCGTGGAGCTGGATCTCAACATAGCCAACATAGACGAAAGCGACAGCCTGCCACGCCTCCACGGAGGGCGATCAGCACGAGCATCGCCGTGGGGACCAGCAGCGCCAGCACACGCTTCCTCGGCGGCGGCAGGCGGTACGGGGCGCGTCCGCCATGGCTTGGGCCCGCTGCCGAATGATTTCCTGGATGTCCACCCGCCCTCTTGGGTTGCTGGAGCTCGGCGGGATTGAACTTGTTCTTTTCGAGGTCGTCCGCACGCGATGCTTCTTCACGCGCAGCTGCCACGGCCCTCTCAAGCTCGGCCTGATTGATAAGCATAGATGCCAGCGTAGCTTTGGCTTTGCTTTGCCTTTCCCCCTGCCGCTGCAATTTTGTAGCAGCGGCTCTCTCCTCCTTCGACGCAACCTCGAGCTTAATGACCAATGCCGTCTGCTTTGCCGCCGCCATCCGATAAAGATCCACTTCAGAAGCCTCGAGCCTCACGAACCACACCAGCAAGAGCGGGATACTGGACCGCCCACGCCTCCACGGCAATGGCAAGGTGAAAGGGGAATGGGCACGGCAGCAGCACCAGAAACGACATGTCCAGGAATCGCATCAGGAGATGAACGGTCAGGAACGTCAGCAGCAGACACGTACTGGTAACCACTCCTGCTGCATTCGTGGTGACCGCATCGAAAGTACTCGCAATGATTGGGCACGCTGCAAATCATCACAGAAGCTGTTGTACGTTTCCTTCGGTTTTTCTTCTTATTCATGCTGTTATTACTATGATTCTCCTTGGGGCCCAGCGTCCAGGACGTCCGCCGCGCTTGCGAGAAGCACGGCTGCCGCCACCGTCAGCTCGCAGCGGACTAGTTATTCTTCCACCACGACATGACACGAAACTGCTCGGACAAGAACTACGCAACCGAAAAACGTTGGGCCGATCGCCAGCGCCCAACCAGCCGTCGGTTGCAAAACAATGAGCGACTGCCAAGGATCAGCGCCATCCGTGCTCCGCCGCGGGTAAAAAAAGGTACCTTGAGCAAAACATGCTACGGGGGGGAGGGGGAAGAGGAGGAGGTGGAGGGAGAGGAGGAGGTGGATGAAGAGGAGAAGAAGAGGAAGGAGAAACACATGGAGGAGGAGGGAGGGGGGAGGATGAAGAAGAAGAAGAAGACGAAGAAGAAGAAAAAGAAAATTAATAAAACTACTCGGCATAGCGCAAGGTCTGTGCCGATCTCGGCCCACGCGTGCGCACGTGCCTGCAGAGCCCTACCTCGAACGATCATCGAGCGCGTGCGATGAGGTCGTGAGTAGCGCGCGCCGTGCAGCCTGCCGCACTCGGGGGTCCGAAGGCAGTCGCAAGTCGCGAGTTCCCTCGGAGGCTATGGGTGAATCCCCTTTGGCCCCGTCGTGCCGAGCCCACGTCGCTGCGGGCGACGGGCGGGCAACCGAGGCACCCAACTTGCCCCGAGGAGGAACCAACGCCCCAGCAGGGCGACGGACGAGAGGGGCACGACGCGGGAGGGAGGCGACGAGGCGAGCGGAGGGGGCCAAAGCAGGATGAGAGCACAGGCGCAGCGGAGGGGGGAATTGGTCCCCAAAAGCCCATATACGGCCACGGAGGAGGGAGAGAGGGAGGACGGCGGCGGCCGCGGGCCGCGGAGGCTTCCGCGGGCAGGTATACGTAGAGCACGAAGCCCCCATCAGGGGGCGCGGGCGCTGGGTCGCTCGATGGAAGGACGAGCAGACCAATAGGGGGGAAGACGGCAGCGGCAGCGGCGGGCTGCGGGTACCTGGCCCCTGAAATCTTCCGAGCCTGCCAGGCGCCTGCGCTCTGAGATCCGAACAGGAAAACAAAGAAGTGTGGCGGGGCATCACGTGAAGGCAACGCCGCACATGAAATAGACACCGGAAGGGGGATCGTCCAAGCCCGGCGGAGACCACAACAGTCCGCCTCAGACGTGAGGCAGCGTCTGGTAAACCTGGCCCCACATGTCTGAAAAACAAAAGTTTCAAGGCCGTCAGAACTCCAGTACACTATGTGCCCTCGGACGTGAGCGGCACATATATGTATGTGATGCCCCCGACTCATGAATGATGGCGAAGAGCTGCCAGTTCCCGCGCCTTGATCCGCTCGAAGAGTGCCGCTCTCTTGATATCCCATGGTGCTGGCGAGCTGTCAGCTTCGTCTACTTGCCGCGCTTGCCCTTGCCCCGGCCTCTCTCGGTCTTGACGCTCAGCCGCTGCGCCAAGCTCTCCAGATGCCCCTGAGGAGCGGTGCCGAACTTGAACTTGCCTCCCTCGGTCTGAACCGCCTTGATGATAACCTGCTCCATCTCCGTATTGCTCAGCGTTCGCACCGTCGCCGTGTCCGATGCCCCCGAAGCGGTCGGAACCGAGATGTCGCCCGCTATCATGAACTGCATCCTGGTGTAGTCATCGGTGTAGCACTTCTTGCACGCAGAATGCCTGATGACCAAGCCGAGCTCCGCAGCCGAGCTGCACAACAATAACTTCCCGAAGAAGAGCACCATCGCCTGGTAGGTCTGGTTTTCCTTTTGTTTCAGCTTCTCTGAGTCGAACATTGACTTGAACACGGCGCGCGCGATGTACAAATGAGGCGATCCCAAGTGCTGCCTCTGCGTACACCTTCCCCGCGGCGCGGGCCGCCACGATCATGAAGGACAGGGTCGGAATGATGAGGCACACACACTCGGACGCCGCCAAGTCCCTGAGCTGCTGCGCGTGCATGCGCGCCATCTAGAGCAGAGGAGAGATCGCCTGCTGGATGTCGCGGGCCCGCAGGGCCCTCTCGACCTTCTGAAGGTCGTCCTCGGCGTCGTCGGCCATCTCCCCAAACATGTTTTTTCTTGAGGTTGGTCGGCTTGCCTGTGTGTTTTGATCAGTGCGTCCAGGTCCATCTCTCCCGCGCCGCTCTCCCCCATCCCGCCGACGAACACGGTTGCGTGGGAGGAGAGTGTTCCTAAGGGGAGGAGGAGGAGGAGGAGGAGGAAGAGGAGGAGGAGGAGGAGGAGGAGGAGGAGGAGGAGCAGGAGGAGGAGGAGGAGGAGAATGAAGAGGAGGAGGAGGAGGAGGAGGAGGAGGAGGAAAAAGAAGAGGAGGCGGAGAGGGAGGAAGAAAACAAGCAGCAGGAGGAGAAGAGGGGGGAGGAGGAGAAGGATGAGATGGACGAGGAGGTGGGGGAGGGGAAAAACACGACCCCAGGAGGAGGCAAAGCGAGGAGGAGGAAGAGGAAAAGGAAGCAGAGGCCCCTGCACGGGAAGCGCGGGCGGGCTGGGAGCGCGCCGCCGGTGGGGCGGCGGTTGCCCGCGGTCCTGCAGCGCGCCGTCCTGGGCGCGCGCCAAGGCCGAGAGGCGGTCCTGCCGGGCGGGAAACTGTGGGCGGGGACGGCGGGGGGGCGCGGCGCACAACCAGCGAAACGTGTGTTTTGAGCAGGGGCCGACCGACCCGACATTCCTATAGTCCTACCACGAAACGTTCTCAGAACCCACGAACGTTCGAAGAACAATAACCATGTTTTTAGAACATAAACCCGATGTGGTAAGGCAAGACAGACTCCGCCAGAAATGTTCTAGGAACATGTCGCGGAAACCACAAAAAGGTTCTGAGAACATTGTTTGGTAGGTCGATGGGCGAGCCAGGACGCTTCGGCACTGCTTGAATGTTGGCAGCGCCCACGTACACGCATGCGCGCGAACGCCTGCAAGCAAGGGGGGGGGCGTGCGTGCTCTGTCAGAACGATACATGCCTCTCTCGCTCTGTCTCTCTCTCTCTCTCTCTTTCTCACTGTCTTCCGCCCTTTCTGTAGATTAGTATTTCCCTCTCTCATTCTCTCTTTTTTTTTCTCTCTCTCTCTCTCTCTCTCTCGCACTCACACGCGCAAGCGCACGCGCACTCACACACACACACAAACAAGCACAGATCGAGATCCACCAAGTGCGCAAGGCGGCGGCAAAGCTGGGCTTGCTCACGGCCGCTTCTCAAAGAGAGGGCGAAAAACCGCCGGGAGTTCCCATGGACATTACCTCTTCCCCCCGCCGAAAAAATGTATACCACTACGGGAGGCCAGAAGAAAAAAAAAAACGAGGATCTGGCGTGCCGTGAAGTCTCCGCAACCGCAAGCTTTTGGGGAGCCTCGAGAACATGAAAGAACTGCTAACACACAGGGGGCGCCACCTCTTTCGGGGATCCCCGTCCGCAGATGGCGGCCAACTCGGAGATTCCTAAAAGCTGTCGCCCGAAACCGGCTATAGTCCGCAACGAATAGTTAGCAAACGAAGTGTCCAACAATAGATAGCAACGTGTGCAGTTGTCCCCTTTTGCTATAATATTTTCAGATACTCGAAGAGCCCATTGTGTGTTAACTACGGGGCGCTCTGGAACCCCGGCGATTCGCTACATAATCGGGAAATGGCGACAACCTTGAATCCGATGGCTACGGGAAAATACAAACACGCGTGACAAAAACCAAATACGACGCGTGCGGGGGCAGTCAGCCGCCCCGCCAGTCAATCAGTCAGGCAGTCAGCTGCCCGAGTTGTGAGGATGTCTCGAGCGGCGGCTCCCGAGTTGTGAGGGTGTCTCGAGCGGCGGCCCCCTCCGGGTCAGTCAGTTAGTCAGTCGGTCAGTCAGTAAGTCAATCAGTTAGACAGCCAGTCAGTCAGAAAGTCGGTCAGACAGTCAGTCAGTCAGTCAGTCAGCCGCCCCAGTTCTGAGGATGTCTCGAGCGGCGGCTCCCAAGTCGTGAGGATGTCTCGAGCCCCACTCAGGGCCCCGCTGAAACATCTCGGGCCCTTTAAAGTGTACAGATCTTGGGCCCCTGAGAGCCCCGTCATTGAGTGCTAACTATGGGTCGCCGTCTTGGGGCGGTCTTGGGCCGCCTGGGGACGGTCTTGGGCTATTTGGGAGCCGTCCCGGGGCTATCTTGGAGCGTCTTGGAACCTTCGTGGGCCGTCTTCGAGACGTCTTGGGGCCATCTTGGGGCGTTTTGGGCCGCCTGTATGTAGGCCGTCTTGGGGCCTTGTGCAGCCGTCATTGTGTGCTAAGTGTAGGTTTGGGCCTGGGAGGGGTCTCGGGGCAGTCTTGGGCCGCTTGGGGAGATCAGCGGCAGAGGAGGAGAGGAGCAGGAATTGTCTCAGGCGCGCGTCTCCACAAATATGGAATCTATACAGCACTACAGAGAATGCAGATCTACACATGCTTCGACTTAGCGCAAATCTTGGGCCGCCTCGGGGCTTTCTTGGGCCGCCTCGGGGCCCTCCGGGGCCATCTTGGGGCGGGCGGCGCCCACTAGATAGCACGCCAAGGCGCACACTAGATAGCACGACAATGGCGGCAAAGCGAGATGAAAGAAACGCACGTCACCCGAAAAAAAATGGACGTGATACTATATAGATGACCTAAATTCTGAGCAGAAGCTCGAATTATATTGATTTTTTGTGAAAAAGCAATCCAAAAAATACCCCCACATTTCGGACAACTTTTACCAACAAAAACCTATAGATAGCAAACGTTGTATAAAACATTTGCTAACTATTCGTTGCGGACTATAGTCTCCCAGGTGACGGACCCATTGCAGTGGGCCGTCAGCACTGGAGATCGGCGACTGGATGTTGATCCACCGCAGTTGAGGCAATAAACGGAAGGCCCTTTGGCGACCATATGGTGGCCCCGAATGACTACCTACCAGACCACCCCAACCCAACCCGAAGGCCCGAATTTCGGGTTGGGGGGGGTAAGGGTTCCACACGTGTTTTTTCGATGTTCCCCGACCCCCCCCCACTAGAAATCGAAGGTAAATCTGAGCCTTCGGGTTGGGTTGGGGTGGTTTGGTGGGTGGTGAGAATGAGGATGAGGGGGAAGCGGGATTCTTCCAGGAGTTCCAGCTTGCGACTGTGTCGGTCCATGTGTTCATGATATCGCCAGGGCAGTGGCTCTCTTTACCTTCTCGGCTGAGCTGTAGGCCTTGGGCCACTTGCCGTCAATGATATCATTGAAACTCTGTGCCCGATTACCCGTGGCCTGTCCGACGCATTCACATCCGAGTTTCGCAATCAGCTGAGCTGTGGAAATGCCACACACAAACCACAAAACCAAACATTCAAACCAGATTGACATTCTAACGGGTGACTATTATGAGCCCAGACGCTCATGGGGGAGATCACAAACAACACCAGGAGGAGGAGGATGAGGACCGGCAGCAGCAGCAGCAGCAACATCATGGCCCAAGGCGACGGAGAAGGGAGTTCATTCCTGCGGCCTCTGGCCGCAGAAAAGGAACGGATTGTCAGATGCTTGTTCGCAAGCCGTGGATGAAGTGGCCCAAAGACACACAAGTACATAGACACAAGACTTCCTTGGGAATCGACGAACACTTGCCTGGTGGCCGCCTCCGTGGCGCTTCTGTCAACGGCCCAGCCGCGTGGCCCTCAGAAGCTCAGCTGCGTGGCCTTGCAGCCCCTGGCCATCGCTCGGACGTCCATTCCCAGTTTTTTTCGGTTTCGTGCGTGGTTGTTTCGCCAAATGATCAAGGATGCTCCTCGATGGTCCTCGCCGCAGGAGAAATGCACACGTCCGAGCGATGCCAAGAGCCCCCAGCTTGCTGGCCTCCGCATCCCGCCCGGCCGTTCCACGGCAACGCCCGCCGCGCACGGCCCCGTGACGAACCACTGGATGCTGCCCCGCGCAGGTGGGCCCGCCGGCTGCTCCTCTCCCGTGCTGGCTCCACGTTTGCAGCGCCTGCAGCCGTTGCCGCAGCCCCTAGACTCGGGAGCGGCCAAGAGGGGGGTGTCCAAGAGGGGGGGGCGCAAATCATGGCCGGCGGCATGTGCGCGGCCCAGCGGGGGGGCCAGGGACGTAATGGAATAAGAAGAGGCGCCATGAAATCTGGGGAAAAATCATGGCCCGCGCCATGACATCCACCCCCCCCTAGTCATCACCCCCCTCTTTGCCGCTCCCGATAGACGTTGGCGCGATGCCGCTCCACGTCCACTGCCAGGACGCCTCGGCAGCGGCTGGCCGCCCTGGCCAGTCCTGCCGACGTGCATCGCCTCTGCCGCGCTGCGAGGAGCAGTGTTGCAACCGCGTTTTTTCTCGAGTGGGGGATCGACGATGGAATCGAGTTACCACAACACTGACTTTCCGTCGAATTTACGAAGCATCTCTGCACTGCTCCGTAGATCTATTGACTGTTCTGCGTATTTGTCTCATGGGCTCGACGAGAAAATCAATGTTGGGATACAGCAATTCTGTACTCGATCCCCTGCTTGGGTTTTCCCTCCCGAGAGTATCGGGCACCTCCTCCCGAGGGAAGGCGGCGAGGGAGGAGCACGGGCGGGGACGACAGGGTGGGGGCTGTTCCGGGACTGCGTTTGGCTAGGAGGGAGGACGGAAGTATAAATATGGAGGATGGAGGTGCGGGGAGTGCGGGCAATATTTCTGTCCACATCCACCGCGGTGCGGAGTTTCCGCCTCCTTCCCCAGATACGCGAGGCGCACTGGATATGGATAAAGTTGCACCCTAGGGGCTCGACTTTTATTCAATGTCCAGTGCGCCTCGGCCTTGTGGCGCCCCGTCCAAGAAAGTACAAGACGCACCGGATAGGGATATAAGTTTTGCCCGCAGGGGAGGACACAGTCGAAGTGTCCAAACGAGGCTCCCAAAAGGCCCCCAACGGCCTCCAAAAGGCCCCAAGCGGTGCCCAAAAGGACCGCCACAGTCGTGAAACTTCTGATCTCTGCTCGGGGTCGGCGGAGTGGCGAACGCCTCTTGGATAAATGGCTGATGGAGAGGGGGGGGCACAAATCGAAGACTCCGAAGAATGTGATCGATTTGTGCAAAGAGCGTGGTTTACAGCCGGCATCCTGGGGGGCACCTTAGAGGAGGGGCGAGGACCACGGCAGAGCTCTCCGCCGCGCCCCGAGGCCCGACGAGGACAGTGTCGTGCTCCCCACGCCCCAGCGGTGCCGATCGCAAACCACACCCCGGCGTAACCATACCCATTGCAGTCGCCGAACAAGACGACTTGCCATCGCTCGGACGTCCATTCCCCGTGCATGTTCCGGCGCCGTGCGTCGATTTCTGCGCACGATGCTCCAAGATGCTGTGCGATGGTCCTCGCCGATGCCAAGGCACCGATAGCGCTACGCCCCGGACCTCTCCCGGTTTGCGTTCTGACCAAAATTTCGAGGCGAGTCCGGCCGTGCCGACGGTGAGCTCTCCCGGGAGGCCCCTGCCTTCGAGGCGAGCCCACCCGCAGCGACGAGGGCTCTCCCTGGAGGCCTTGAACAGGCGAAGCGTGGTGGCAGCAGTGCGCGAAGGTTGAGGCCTGGCATGAAAGACGCCCCCCGCGCAGGCACGACCCTCTTCCTCAGGCATCGGTGGGCCAAGCAGCGCATCAGACCAGACCTAGTGAGGAAAACATGCCTGGCTCGCCTCGAATCGTGCTCGAACCTCCTCCCGCCTGCGAGCCGCAGCCACCGACCCAGGCCGAAGGGAATACAAGCCTCTGATGTCCGCGCCAAAGCCGCCTTCGTGGGCGGGCGCGTGTGAGGCGACGACGCTGCAGTGCAGAGAGGAGGAGGAGGAGGAGGAGGAGGAGGAGGAGGAGGAGGAGGAGGAGGAGGAGGAGGAGGAGGGGAGAAGGAGGAGGGAGGAGGAGGAGGAGGAGGAGGAGGGAGGAGGAGGAGGAGGAGGAGGAGGAGGAGGAGGAGGAGGAGGAGGAGGAGGAGGGAGGAGAGGAGGAGGAGGAGGAGGAGGAGGAGGAGGAGGAGGAGGAGGAGGAGGAGGAGGAGGGAGGAGGAGGAGGAGTGCAAGCTGAGTGCCAGCGTCGCCGATGTCGCCGTCGCCGCCGCCAGCACCTCCGCAGCCGGGACGCCGCCGCGCGGGCGGGCGCCGGGACGGCCCCTCGGCGCCGAGGCGCGCCGGCCCGCGCGCGGCGGCGAGAGCGCCGAGGCCCGGCGCGGAGCCTCCGCCCTGCTGTCGTTGGTCCTCGCGGCGGCGACCTGCGCCGGGAGGCGCAGGGACGCACAGCGGCGGCGAGCGAGGCTCGCCATCGCTCGGGCGTCCATTCCCTGTGTTTTTTGTTGGTTTCGTGCGTGGCTTTTTCGGCAAATGGTCAAGGATGCTCCTCGATGGTCCCCGCCGAGGAAAAAACGTACACGTCCGAGCGATGCCAGGGAGGGGGGGAGGCGAGAGGGAGGAGGCCTTCGCAGAAGGCGGCGGGGCTTCTCCCAAGGGCCCCCATTGGAGGGTGAAAGTGGGGGTCGGGCGCAGGGTCCCGGCAATGATGTTTTTTAAAGTCATGAATGGGCGATACATCCTCGATTGCTGTGTTCGGCGGGGGAACTAATTCAAGCCCCCCGCCTGCACCCGCGCGCGAGACTGGAGGGGAACGGAAGCAAGGGGGCGGGGGGCTCGGGAAAGGCGACGAAGGCAACGTGCGCTAAGGGCGCAACAAGAAGAGGCTGGAACACACGAAAGCGGTCGGGTGAGTGTCGAAATCTGCCCAGCCAATCTGGCATGCGGGACACTGCGCCTCAGTTTTGGGGATCTCGAAGGCCAGGGCAAAATGTGAATTCACATTGTGGGGAAAAGCAAAATGTGAATTCACATTTTGGGAAAAAGGAAAATGTGAATTCACATTTTGCTTTTTCCCAAATCTGTCTTGGGGGTCGAGAAGTCATCGTTTGGGAACATACGCGATCATCAACCGCACAATCAAGACACACTTGCACTCCACTTCGCCGACCCACGCGCAATATGCAAGAACGCCCGCACGCATGAACGATAATGGATGGACGGCGCGTGTGCCCGCGCGGGCAACGCGCGGGCACGAATGACTGGCCACCAATGACCGCCAGCATTGGATGCCAATCGTACCCGATCACATACATGAGCGATACATTGAGCATACATGGGCCATTCAGCCCCCATTGAAGACCCCCTGTTGCAGACCCCCTCTTTCACCCTCCAACCCCAGGCCTTCTGAGAGACTAGATCGCGTCTCCGGGGAGTGCTCCAAAAAAACATGTCTCAGGATTTCGGGGGACTTCGGAGCCATCTGAGAAGACCCGCCCCTTCTCACTTCCCCCCTGGGCTCGCCGCCGAGTACAGCAGGGGGGCCCGACCACAAGAAGCCTTCCACAAGAAGCCCAACCCTGAGACCCCAGGACGTCCCTGGATTTTCGGTGTGGGAACGCCACGCCTCCCGTGGCAAAACCGTCGAGACCCAAAAAGCCCAGGGCACCCTGGAGAGGCAAGCAGGGTGTTTACAGGCCTCCCAGATGGGGTCCGAGTAGATGAGAGTCGGAGGATCTCGCCGCATTGCCGATACATCGCCGATGCATCGGCGATGCATCGGCGATGCATCGGCCGTGCAATGGCGACGTCGGCGGTGCATCGGCGACGTCGGCGTGGAGAAAACTGGGCCCCACATCGAGCCGCATCGCTGATGCATCGCCGATGTACCGGCGATGCGGCGCAATTCTCCGACCCCATCTACGCGGACCCCATCTAGGAGGCCTAGAATGTTCCTTGGCATGGGTCTCCTCTGTGCAGTCGACCCGCGTCGGAAGGAGGATGCGCGACAAGGCTGCAAAGGGCCTCGGAGGGCCGTTTCGGCACTCCTCGAGCGGGGGGCGCGGCCAGCGACAGCGGCCCAGGATGGATCGAGGAGGCGGGGGGGGGAGGAGGAGGAGGAGGAGGAGGAGGAGGAGAGGAGGAGGAGGAGGAGGAGGAGGAGGAGGAGGAGGAGGAGGAGGAGGAGGAGGAGCAGGAGGAGGAGGAGGAGGAAGAGGAGGAGGAGGGTATCCTGGGGAAGGATGCGCACCCTTCCCGTACGGGTCGACTGTATGGCTCCTCCTCGGGCGCGCGCGTGCAGCCCGATGGATGTCGCACAAGCCAGAGAAAGCGCCCGCCACGCGGAGCTCGTGCTGGAAGACTGCTCGGCGCGCGCGTCGTCCCCCGGGGTTCGACGCGCACGTGGCATGAGCGCTCGAGCGGGGGGGTCGACGACAGAATGGATTCACAACAAACTTCATTCCCTCTGCGAATCTAGGGACAACTGCACCGCACGTTGGCAGGTCAGCGGGACACCTGTCCCATGTTCCGTGGATTCGATTGCACATCAAGCTTGGAGGACCCATCGGTCGGAAGAAGTCGGCAGAAACATGAAGTAGGACGACGTTGGAAAATAGATTGAGTGTCAGCCCGCCCCCCGAAGAGGGCGGAAAAGGTGAAGCCACTCGATCACTGACGCAGGAAAGCGCTTGAAGAGGATTGGAATCTGGGAGTCCAAAAAAAGCTACTCTCAACAACCGATGGGTACCTCAATCCTGTACTCGATCCCCTGCTCGAGCTCTGCTGGGGCGACGCCGCGGCGCTCGCGCCCGGCCTCGACGCCACGGCCTCGGCGCCGACTCCTGGGAGGCCCTCGCAAGAGCGAGCACGCTGGCCATCGCTCGGACGTCCATTCCCTGTGCTCTGTTCGGTTCTGTGCGTGGCTTTTTCGCCAAATGATGGAGGATGCTCCTCGATGGTCCTCGCCGTAGGAAAAATTCACACGTCCGAGCGATGCCAAGGCACATGGGAACGCGTGTAGCCGGAGCCGTGGAGCCGGCGTAGGCCACAGGGCGTAAGGGGGGGGGCTCGAGCCGCATGGCGCGGGCGCAAGCCCGAGGGATCCGGAATACGCAGCTCTTCTGCCGCGCACCGACCAGCGCCGAGGCCGAATCGGACCTCCCAGGAGGTGCACCCTGACTCCCATGGGGGGCCACAGCGAAGGCGACGACGAGGACTGCAGAACAGGGACTCTGCAGTGGACGAGGAGGACGAGGACGATGAGAACGGAGGAGGACGAGGAGAAGGAGGAGGAGGAACGAGGAGAAAGGAGAAAGGAGAGAGGAGGAGGAGAAGGAGGAGGAGGAGGAGGAGGAGGAGGACGACGAACGACGGCGGCGGCGCCGCAACCGTCCGCCCCTCCCCGGACCCTCGGGCGTCGTTGGCGGCAGTCGAGTCGAGGCGGCTCGCTCTTTCCGCCGTTCTGGGCGCCTGCAGGCCCGCAGATCGGGACCCCGGGGCCGGCAGCAGAGCTGCCCAGGAGGCAGAGCCGCTCCCGAGGAGGAGGAGGAGGAGGAGGAGAAGGAGGAGGAGGGGGAGGGGGTTCAACGCCCATAGAGGGAGGTCCAGGGGGAGAGAGGGGAAAAATGGGGTGGGGTGCCCATCAGAGGAGACCTTTTAAACCCCGCCGAGGGTTCCATCCCCACGGTCCGGGGCCCAGCCGACAGGGCACCCCACCCCCCGAACTCGCTAACCGGGCTCTCCAGCCTCGTCCATCGATTGCGCCCGAGCTCTCCGAGCTTGGGCTTCCGCTCGGGCCTCCACGGCCCTTTTCCCGAGCTCCTCTGCGGAGGCGCGGGACGAAAAACCGAAGGCCTTGAGCACCGTGGCAAGGCTCAACGCAGAAGGGGCCCTACGGCCCGAAAACGGCCCTAGTCGAGATGGAGGCCTGGCCTCATCCCCAGCCAAGCCGAAATGAGACGCCCACTTCGCCCGGGTGGCTGAGGAGGGGACCTGGGGCTCATCCAGCGAAACTCCGTCGTCGGTCGGATGCTTGAGCTCTCGAAGCCGCTTGCGGATGGTGTAGGACGACCCACCTTTCAAACGTCGAGGGCCCGAGCAAGCACTGCATAGACCCCTCTGCTTCTGATGCACGGCGTACTTGTAGCATGTCGTGCAAAAGATGATCGGCTCACTGCCAGGCACTCCAGCTTCCAGCACAGAATGCCCGTTCACCCGCCAAGGCACCCGAATGCCAATGCCAAAACTCTCATCCTCCGCCTCTTCTCCTCCCAAACCCTCCTCCGTCACAGCCTCCGCCTCCTCCCCTTCGGGCGGGGCCTCGGGACCGGGCTGGGGGTTGATTGGCGGGACGAGGTCAAGAACTCCAAGGTCGATCAAACGGATCGAGTCAAGGCCCTGGTGGTCACGAATATCTTCGTTGACCATTCTGGTGGCCATCCTAGCCGCAAGCTTCGCTGCCTGCGACGCGATAACCAGGCAACCTTCGATGAAAAGAACATCATTTTCAGACGAAGCACCGTAGCTTGCCCCACGCTTGGCAAACTTGTCTGCCTCAGCATTCCCTTCGAGCTCAAACTGCGAGAGAACACCGTCCCTGACATGCACCATGGAGCAGTGACTTTTAACATGCTTAAACACACGCTGCGGGAAATCTTCACGAGAGTGCACCCGCAGCCACAAGTGGGCCCTTGGGTTCGCCACCGAAGTGGCGCTCTGCGGACACGTGCAACAACTTAACGTGGCCACACAATCCGCTAGCACGCTGAACGTGCCTAAAACATGTTGCGACACCATGAGCATCGCATAGTCTTCGCCGTCCCTCGCAGTGTGCGTCGTGGCGAATTCTGGCGGAACAACCCCGTAGATTGCACCTAGGAATACGCGGTCGGCTGAATAAAAAACGCAGGACCAGCCAGTCGTGCGCAGCGTAGGAAACCTCGAGTTCAATCCGGACCCGTCCGTGAACACGAAGCCTCCCTCCAGCAGCACCGGCAGGTCAATGCCCGTGCCTCTGAGAGACCAGCACGGGTCAAAGGCTGGTCGAGACACGCACAGACCAGGCTCTGGGAAGATGCCCCGGGCAAAGCGCTCACCCCAAGCAGGCGGGGCCTGGAAAATCTCCTTGGCCGCAGCAGCCAGCTCGTAGGAAAGATTATCTCGCCTCCAGGCTTCGTGGCCCGGACATCTGTAGCACCTGTGGTAGAGGGACCCTCTCTCCTCCTGGCAGAGCTGACGCAACGCGGGCACCGACGCATCCTGGTCGTGCAGCCGCCCTTGCGACCAGTACGTGCCCGCGACCAGGCCTCGGAGCGCAGACTGCTGATGCTTCTCCCAGCCCGGCTCCCAATCACAGAACAGATTCTCAAGAATGGGCCGCCAAAAAATGGGGCCAGCCCAACAGCTCCTATCCTGCAGGCTAAGC